GCAGTTACTGAAGCGGGCATGGTTTCTGAAGCGCAGTTACTGAAGCGGCCATGGTTTCTGAAGCGCAGTTGCTGAATCAAGGGCCAGTTGCTGAATCATCTACTGTCCCCCTAGATTTGGACAACCAGCCATATAAGTCTTGGAGACACCAAGGCTCTCTCAAGTACACCCACGAAAGATAGCAAACGCAAGGACCAGAAAAGCGAAGATGCAGTCCACGAGATGCAATCAATTGAAAATTTACGTTCCGAGCTGCCGCCTATCAAATCGCTCCTCCGCTGTCAAGTTGCTCATCAGGTGTTTCTGCGCCTTTGCCCAAAAGGCTTTGCTGCGGCATCGCACATGCCACGAACAGCATACTCACATTGAAGTTTCGGGCAAGCAACGAAGAAGGAGTCTTCCAGAAAAGTGATAGTGTTCCGCTTGATTTGCTTCATTCGCATGTGCTCGCCTGCCCAGCGACAGGGCGCTGGCGTGAAGCTCCAAAACATCGCAAGACGGTGCTGTGCCCTTCCGACGCATTCCGTGGAAATGTTTCCGAGCGCTAACCATCTCTGTTCACGATGAGGGCATGTCTCAAAGCAATGCAGGATCCTCCCGAAGGAAAATGGCCGTCGACCATGCCGCCCGACCCGATAAACCAAAAGAAAGGTCTGAGCACAATGGAACATGGACTCAAACAAGCCCTCAACATGCAACGAGCAAGGTTACCCGTTACCCCTACTATTCCCTAGTGTATGTCCAGTCTACAGGGGGTTCCCGCACTCTGAGCCCGGCCTCTTGCCGAGACCAGCAACTTTAGGGGTGCCGCAATGGCCACGCAAGCCTCTTCAACAAAAAACACGAAGTTGCACCGGAGGTTGAGCGACGAATGGCACATTGGGTGGACTGCTTCAGATGCTGTGGCTCTAGTGTCAGTGCTATTCGCCTGCGAGCCATAGTTGTCAAGGATCACGAGGCGCCACCATGGTGCAGACTCGGCATTCTCTTTCATGTCCTGGGGGTATGGTGTGAGGAAGGTCGACTTGCGTTCCCACGCTGCGCTGATTTTGCGTAGCCACGCTGCTTTGTCAGCATCTGGGCCAAGCATGCAATCAAGACCAGAGCAAACAATGTACACGAAACACGTGGCAGTCGGGCGGGCAAAAGCAACTCGCTGATACATGCTCTCCCATGTGGGGCTAGCACATGCTAGCATGTTGCAGGGCCTGGGCACCCCTGATTTTTGTACTAAGGCAACAATGTCTAGCGGCTAGCGACTCACGCATCCAGCTGACCGAGAGAGCCACTGGTCCTCCTTCGCCTTGTAGAAAATCGTCGAGCCTTTCTCAGCCACATTCTCTGGCACCTCCATACTCCATACACACTATCATCAGTCTCAGCCCAAAGGTTCACAACTGCTCGCTGTGCGATAAGCACGGCACAGTAAACGTCCATGCAGTTTGCCAGGGACCAGTCGCTGAATTCGTGGAGAACCTAACTGCCGGATCGGCAGTGGAACGAAGCAAAGACGAGAATTGCAAGCAGGAAGCATCATCCTGCACCTCTTTGGCGTCACTTCCTTTCACATCGAAGTCGCGCAAGGAAGTGCAGCGGTGTGCGCATGCGCTTACAAGGGGTGCAACACAAATGCAATGCCATCCGCCTTGGTGACAACCTCCATCTGTATGGCGACAACCGGTGCCTAAGTTCACCGGGCCGTGACACATCTTCCGTGACGGGATGTCATTGCGACGGTGCAATGCACAGTGCCCTCCGTGCTGCAATAAGCAGCTCAGAACCGGCGACAAGAAGCCTTGATTGTTGCTGAATCATGTGGAGCAGTATGCTGAACAGCTGCAGGGATGTCTTCCACTTCGAAGCTTAGATGCTGGTCCTTCGTCCTGGGGGCAGTTTCTTTTCACCGAGACTGCGATGGTGGTTCTTGTAAGACGGACACAAGCTCCACAGATGCTGCGCCGAAAACCGAGCTTCTGACTTTCCAATCTCACTTTGCCAGCAGCTGGATGTCCCAAGCAGATTGAACGCAGGGAAGTTTCCTCGCTGAGACGACCATCCGGTCACCTGCGTGTCTGAAAATTCAGCGGATTTTGCATTCGCCAAATACGAGTATGCGAAATGCCGCTGTTTACCGGATGCCAAGTGCCAAGAATTGACACGGATGTCGACTTGTGTATGACGTTGCGCCTCACCAAACCCACCTACACCAAGCTCTACTTCTACAAGTGTGGACGCATCGCACGCTTTGCCAGGCAGATGTGCGCGCACGCTCAACCTGTGTTGGAACGCATTTGACATGAAAGTGCGTCTAGACACCCTGAAGTATTTAAAGCATAAAGCACAGAAGCCGGGTGTCAGGTCCAACGGGAAGTGTTGCAAGAACGCTCTTCAACAGTCAACCGTTCAGTGAATGCTCTGAGAAAACACAGCCTGGGAAAGTCTTCCTAGCCAGAAATACTAATACTGTACCCAGGTACACATCCTGCCAGCTTCCCCCACCAATGCCCGAGTGAGGGTGCTTTCTCCAAGTATGAAAGGCTACCAGCATTACCAACATTCATTTCTCGGCTGCGGTGCTGAAGCAGAGACGGAGCCTTGAAGGGCATCCCGGGAATTCCTTCCAACTCATCAGCCTGGCAAAGAGCTAAAGATTACAAGGAACACTGAAGCCCCAGGCCCAAGACCAAGGCCTCGTTTTCGTCGTCTGCAAACCATCTGGACTCCAACCTGACTGGATCTGACTGGTGTCGGACTGTGCAACCAAAGAGTTTGACCCCAAAACGCCCTAAAAAACTCACCTTCCTCACATGCAGCCCAGGACCTGCCGAAGTCACCTCACACTGCCCAGGGCTCGATCTCTCTTGACTGACCCTCCTCTCTCACCCCAGCAAGGGCCACTCTCACTCTTATGGCCTGCATCTCCGGCTGAATTATTCTCCGCAGACTCGTTGGCAGCAACTTTTCTGCCGCCACTCGACAGAATAGCCACTCGCTTGTCAAAGGCTTGAATTCGATCTCGCACCTGTCGGGTGACCTGGGACCGCTGCTTCACGAGATCCGAAATCTTGTCCTTCTGCAACGCCAGCAAAGCACCCTTCACACTCTTCCATCCCGAGTTCGAATTCAGGGCCTTCGGCGGTGTCTCCCGCCAGGGACGCGAAACCTGCTTGTGCGTGGCCTGCGTGGCTTCCCTGTCCAGTCTCGGAGTCTCCGAAAGGGTCGTTGCTGTTGCGGCAGTTGCTGCGTAATTTGCAGCGAGATTCCTTTGAGGCTTTGGAGGGACCAGAACATCTCCCTCTATGGGCAACGGTCCTGTGCCAGCATATAAGCGCGTAGCCGGCGGCGTCGGTGAAGGCAAAGAAACGTTAGCAGATTGAGGCCGCGGATTTCTGTACGGTTGCGCAGCGGGCGAATAATATGCACTTGCCTTTACGAAAGCGGAGAAAGACTGGTGTGACATCACGCCGGAAGCTCGGATGTCGGAACTTTGCGCCAGCGCTGCCTGGCCATGGCCACATCCCTTCGATGTGCAAAGGCACGAAGCGTTGCATTTTTCTCACTCGCTTTTAGGTTACAAATCATACGTGGTGTACCACAACTACGTCGGGCCTCACTACCCCAACGAAGTCTAACTGGTCCGTACCATGTGGCTCTTCCGTCTACTGGATGCTAAGCTGGCGCAGCACTCAAGGTGATACCACAGCACAAGCCAAGCGGAAGTGCAGCCCCACTCCTTGGAGAGGTTGAGGTTGTTCAGCTGGTCCTTGAAGTTCTTCTCCTCCCTAACTAACAAAAGTAAACGTTCAGCAACAAGACCAACCCTGTGCGGCTGTTACATCGTGCCTTTTGTTCGCGTCTCCGAAGAGTGGCACTAAGGCTGTCGACTCAATCGAAAGGACGTGATGATGACCTGAGGGAACATAACAAGTAGTTACTTAAGATGCAGGAACAATCGCCTTACTTCCCCCGCTGCTGCTGGTGCTGCTGGGGCTGCTGCTACTGTTCCCGAGAACACTTAGAGTGGAAGGCTGGGCGGTGCAACCTGGAGCCTTGCATGGAATCTGGGCTGGACTGCGCTCCAGCAGCCACCGCCGCTCCTCCACTTCGTAGCGAGTTGCATGAACCTGTTTCGCTGTCACTTCCTGTACCAACGTACTCTGCTTGTCGCTGTTCCTGCTGCTGCTGTTGCTGCCGTGGCATCGGCTCCGAGCAATTGCATATATTAGGGCATATATATATATAGAGAGAGAGAGAGAGAGAGAGAGAGAGTTCGAAGAACAACTCAGAAGGCAGCCGATTTGTCCAACCTGCAGCAAGAGCTGGTGCGGCGGCGAAATCACCGGGCATGCTTTCAGGCATGGAGGGAGGACGACAGTGAGCTCTCCTTCTTGTGCGTCTTGATCAGTATGAGGTAGTGCCTCTGACAATGCAGCGCGTATGCATCCATGGCCAGTAGGCGCTCGCAGAGGCAGAGGCGCAGGCCCGCAAAGAAACCTGATAAATCCAACCAGCCCAGATGCCTTTAAGGCGACCTCCAGCAAAGCATGGTAAAGCACAGGCTGCTGGCAGAAACACCTGTATACAAACAGCACTGCAAACAACGCATCATGTGTACTCTGCCTCTTCCAGTCCGTGCTCGCGCCTGCAATGCAATGCTATGCATCGGCTTGAAGCTGCTTTCCATGTACAAACTAGGCAGGGTGTCGACGGTTTCCTGTCTGACAGGCAAAACCCCCCGTGCCTTTTACATGTCGGCAGTATTCTCGTCATGTCTACGAGGCTCGCCCAAACAGTGCAGCATGCTGCTCCCGGCTTCCGAATCGTCCGAATTCTGGCTATGGCATAGAATCCTCTTTGAACACGCACTTCTGCCTCATATCTCGAAGCCGCGCATCCAGACCTGCAAGTTCATGGCGCTCTTCTCCTGTCCACTGGCATTGCGGCATTGCCGGGCACCAGAGTGGCTCTCCCTCGCAGGCCCCGGCCTCCTCGAAGCTCCAGTGTCGGGTGGGAATCCTCTGAATTGCACAGCGCATGGTGACATGACGACACTTCACGCGCCTCCTGCTTTGGGATCTCCAAGCAGCTGTACTCCTTTCGAACCTGCTCATAAGACTCCCAAAGGTGCGCTGCAACGACGTCGGAGTGCAAACAACTCTGGGGTGCAACGTCGATGAGGTTGTCGCTGGCACTGAGCTTGAATCAAAACGTTGGGGCCGTTGCTTAGGGCCTCAAGACGTGCCTCAACTCCACAGATGTCACACGCAGCAAACTGGGCTAGCTTTGAGCCAACAGTCTGCCATGCAGCTCCGTAATCTGCGGTCTGGTGGTCCGACCACAGCAAGCCGAATCAATTTTTGTCAGACTGCAACATAAACAGCAGCCAGCGTCCGTTGACTCGCTTTGTGCGCCACCCCTGCTCAAGAAGTCGCGTGATGTGGAAGTGCATTGGTAAGTGCACGTGGGTAAGTGAGTAGGTGCGGTCCCACCAGGAGGATATTCCAGGGAAGGGCAGGTTTTTGTTTACCTTGTGCATCTCACGGGACATTGAAAACGTGCGAGGGCAACGTTAGGAACTGTCATTGCTGGGGTGACATTATGCTTTATCCGACCGTTGTCCCTGGAATTTGGCTGGTCCAATATGGCCAAGCCCCGGGCAATGTTGCATGCTGTCCAGATAAACTCTTCAGAAGAAACTTCCTTTCCCATCCACACGCTGCATGTCTTAGCGCGTGCCTTGTCAATACCGAAAACGAAAACGGCATTCCTGCTCCTGCGTGTGCAAATCCGTCTGACACACTTCTGTCATCTTACCTACAAGTGCTCTCCAAACGGGGCCTGTACACATGGTATCGCTGGAAAGGGCACACGAAGGAGGGCGGCCCGAGGACATCGCACATGGCATCTGGAAGGTGCTGCAGTTCTCGACTGAGACTATCTAAGAAGCTAAGCTGCTGTCTTCGCCAGAGGCACACGAAGATGGCGGCTCTGTATATGGTGTTGACTCCACGATGGGCACCTTCTCCCTACAAGCTTTATATTAAAAGCGACGCGGATTTGCTCTTGAAGTTGGCGCCAGAAAGGTTAGACGAACGAACGTCATCTGCTGGTGCCATGATGCCAGAGAAGTGTGAAACTTCTTGTTGGTATTTGCTCGTGACGCTGGCTACAGCTCCTGCTGGGCGATGTTCCAGTTCCAGCCTGAGGGAGGGGATCCCGCTGCCGAGTCATGAATCTGTGCTTCGGCTGAGTCTTGCAAGCCATTCCTACTCGCGCACACAGGCGTTTTGCGGGTCCTTCCAGTCAGCTCCCACCCTGCCGACCGTTTCCGTTCTTTGTACACAGCTACCACAACCACCAGGATCGCTTAAAGCAGCCGGGAACTCAAGCCTGAAGCAAGTGCTGGGCTTGGCACTTGCTCAACTCCGGCAGGCGATTGGAATCTCCATCCTACACACTGTCTTGCCCGGCACAGGAGCAGCAGTGCTCGCGAGTGCAAACGCCCTGTGGCTGATCCAGTCGGCACGTAGCAAGTCTAGATCCTTCTTAAGGTTGTCTCTTGGTCTTCCTGACAAACATGTTGCAAGCAAGCTTGTGCTACTGCATCAGACAATGGCGGTCTTCTCACATCTTCTGAACATCCAGGAAGGGATCGAACACGAACGAACTGTCACGCAAGACACTTGCTCAAATGAACTCAGGATACAGGATACACACCAGAGCAAGTAAGCAGTGTTCAAAAAGGCTTTTCGTCCTGTCATCCAAGAACATGACGTCCACAACGAGCATCGCACCCACCATGACTGTGATGGAAAGCCAGTGGGTCCAGTACCTAGCGGGTCGTCCAAACTCATCAGCAAGCATAGTCCTCCCCGCATTGGAAGCGGTGGCAGCGCTTCTTTGGCGTGTCTACACATTTCAGCTGCGCTCCCCGCCGGACAATTAGACTATGTGCGGAGTTGTGGTCACTTCGTCGTCGTCGCGGCGACGGTGATCACGATCAGCAAAATCAGGAGGAACAAAAACCTGAACCAAGCTTCGAGCGCTAGCATTGCATCAAACGAACCCGAGGCGCGCCCGCCACGCTTCATGAGCGACATGGCTTCTACGGCTGAGACCTGCCGCAAGACAGGCGAACAGAAAACAGTGCGCTCTGCGCCCAGACGCGCCTGGCCTGGTGAATCGTTCGGCAGTTCCACAAGCTTCCACGAGCTTCTAAGCCCTACTCTACCTCTTGAAGCAGCGGCGAGTCCTTCAAGGTTTAGGGACTGTAGAACCAATCAATCAGTGCCGGCAATTAGGACCTTTCTTTTCTTGCACGATTGGGCTCCAAGTTGCAGAAGTGCTGGTGCTCCCTTCAGTGAAGGCATAAGGGCCATAAGCAAAGTCGTTCGGAGAGACTGCAGTGTCTTCCTGGGGGTACTGCCAAGCCTGCTCGACGCTGTGGCACCAATCTTCGGTCCAGGGGGGTTCTTCGGGGCTCCAGTGCCAGTCTTCTTTTTGCCAATGCCAGTCTTCTTGGTGCCACAGGACATCGTCCGACCAGGTCTCGGTCGCTTCGGCTTCGACCTCTGGCGCTCCTTGAGCTCCCTGAGCTCCTTTGCCCTTCTTGCGTTTGGGCTTAGTGCTTGGCCGATTCACCGTGATGACGTCAGGCTCACAGGCCAAGTAGAACTTGCCGATTAAGTAGTTCGCATATCCTTCTGGTCTGTTGTTCTGCGCAGACCAAGGTCCATTGGGAGGGTTTGGCTTGTTGACGACTGTCCGCTTCTGCGCATAAAGCATAGTCGATCCATCTGCGGTGTAGTACTCATCAAAGAAGCTCATTTCAGGCTTCTCAACAAAAGCCGGGAAAGTTGACCAGCAAAGCTGATGCGCTGAAAACTCAACGTAAGGGCCATGATCGCCATAAACCACCCGGTCATAGCCCCTTCCAATCGGCAGACCAGAACTCGTACTGTAAAATTCTGTCCAAGCATCTCCAAACTCTGCCAGACCCAAGCTGTTCTCTACCCGTGACCTTTGAGCAAGATTGTCATGCCGGCTTAGCATGTCGTGCGGCTGCAAGAACACCTGCGGCACATACCGAGAATGCTTTCCAAGCAGCTTGTCTCGTTGCCGGTTAGGGGCTATGGCTGTAGTCGAGAAGACACGCACCCACTGCCTGTGGACTTACGAAGCACAGATGTAAGCGACTGGGAGCAAGAGGGCTCTTCAAGTCTGCTTGACAGGCTTCCTACTGCATCCACCAAATTGAAGCAGTCGCCTCTAGGCGGAAAGCTATGGCCCATGGCGTTTTCTTTTAAGTTGACACATTGGTCTGCCCAGTTGGAGGCAGACGGTGCCAACAAACGATGAAAAGGTGTTCAACCGGTCTTCCATCCAGGCGTAATGCAAAGTGAACGGAAGGTGCCCGCTCGGTTGCGCGTGGGCACCATCAGCCGGGGGCAAGACACTGACGAGTCTAAGTCGTGGATCCCACTCGTTTCACTGTCACACGGGACTTAACCTTCTAGCCATCCAGCCTTGCTTGGTTGGGGAGAGCCAGACATTCCTTCGTGGTTGATCTTCTTGGTTGTGTTCGGATTCTGACGTCCCTTTCTTCCGCAAAGCTTGCAAGCCCTCCTCCAGCTTCTGACCATCTGTGGGGTGGCAAATGCAGATGGTATGTGGAGGACCTGTGGGCCTTAGATGAGGAAAGTACAGCGGTCGGATTGCGGTCGGCAAAGCCTCCGAAACTAGCCACGCGTTGGCTATGCATGGTTCTGCATACCATGACAGTGCTTCTGTAGCCGCCGCGGGCTCACCGTGGTTGTTCGAGCGAAGACGTTGCCAACGTTTGATCGCAAAACATGCCTATCGTAGACTTATGGCTCGAGCAAAGCACTGTTCAAGCCTTCACTGCCTTGTTGCGCCTTGGGCTAAGCATCTTTAACCATTCTGCGTATAAGACGAGGCACCCTGTGGGCGTTGAAGCCCACTGCACATGCGTGCCGGCTCGGCCAGCAGGACGGGAACTTGCTCCGAGAGCCCCACACTCAACAAGGCGGATCCTCCGGGACGGGCACATCTCCCAGGCCTGATTGCGCAGGTCGTGCCGAGTCCTTGTCTTGGCTTTCTCCTTCTCGCTCTCGTCCTGGCACACGACGGCGACCGTTCGCTGCATGACACCCGGGACCTGTGCTGTGCCCTGCTGTGCCGTGCTGTCCTTGGAGCTGGTTGCCATTCGTGGCTGCCATGGGCGGATGGCCAAGCACCGACAAGAATCACACTCATAAAAGCTTCGTCTGATACAATCGCCGGAATGTCAGGGATCTACGGCCTAGGAGGAGTTACCGCGCTGCACGGCTTGGAGCCAAAAGCAAGCACCTTCGAAGCAAGATGCTGACAAAGAATTGTCTTGACATGCGCACACCTCACGGACGCTTTCTGGTATGCCTACTCCCGGGAATGCGGCCTGATGCGGCCTGAAAAAGATGTAAGTGTGCAACAAACGGTAATGTCACGAGGATGGCGCGGCACACACCCAATCCCTGCACCAGTGCCGAGACGATATGACCCGAGAGGGTCCGAGAGAACGTGTCGACTAACATTCGGTCCCCACACACACATACATACATACATACATACATACAGACAGACAGACAGACAGACAGACAGACATACATACACACGCACCCAGTTTCCCTGCAACGGCTGGATCTGTTGAGATCGCAATGGCTATTTGAAGGTCCGGCAGAAGGCGACAACCGAGACTATGGTCGTCAACCGAAAAGAAGCAAAAGCGATCCAGCAAAAAACGTAACTCCATCGACTCCATCTGCCTAGATACATGTACAATATTGTATAATTAATCATGTAAAATATGATTGTATGTGTATCACATGAGACTGCAGTATAAGGCAACGACCACGCGGGTCGCTGTTCAAACTGCACCCCCCCCGCCCCCGCCCCCAACCCCATCATGTCTCCCGCCACTCCACGCCCCGCTATGACGGTGCCTGTGGTCTTGTTTGCGTTCTTGGTCTCCCGGCTTTCCCGTTCCCGTGTCTAGTCTTCGCGTCTGTGTGATCTGGTCGTCCCCTCACTCATCCTTCCAGCTGTCCCTGCCCCTTTGTCGTTCAGTGGTCATCCCTGTGCTTCGGTCTCGAACTACCAGTCCTGTTGCATTATGTTTTATACGTAGTATCCTGGTCGGCCCCTGTGGTTTGTGTTTTTGCACGGGCCGTTTTGCTCGATGGGAATGCAAACAGAAGTTATGGTTCCAGCTATTTGTTGCTTGTATTTTCATTCTACTACACCAGTTTTCGTGGTGTTCCTCTTTCTTTGCAGGCTGTGCCTCCACCATGTGCGAACCCTGTGGTTTGGGTTGGTGGGTTCTCCTCCGGTGCGACATATCCACCACAACCTATATCAACCCGTACCCAGCAAGATCGCGACTTCGTGCCAGCAAGTGTGGCCCAGGGTCGCGGCCCCACTGGGCTCGATCCTCGTGGGGTCGATGCTGTGGCTGTCGTGTCAGGGATGGGCGAAGGGGTTGAGGGTGGGATACCATGGAGGAAAAGGGCGATCTGCGTGGGTGTCGTCGTTTCTGGATCTTGACATCGTGTTGATGCTTCCAAAAAATGGGCAAAGATGTGTCAGTAAGGGTCGAGATCCTCGTGACTGCTGTCGCTCCATGGATCTCGATATCACTTGATCCACACTCACGTGACCCCACCTGGACAGCCACCCACGAAAGAAGGGAGGATTGAACAATGAACCCAATATAATTCCAAGCCAAAACTGGCTATGCCCACAGGAGAGATGGGGATTCCCGAACCCAAACCCACAGGCGTGGAACGGGGGTTTAGACTCGAGGAAGCTCATGACAAAAAACAGTGATGTCTCGACTTTTCAGGGGCGCGGTCGTCTCATTCGGGAATGGTGGGGACCAGGACAGCGGCACCAGCTAGATCCTCCGGCAGCACGAGGTCCAGCAAACTGCTGCCCCGAGCAGCCCAGTAGTTGAAGTTCTCCACAGCGCCAACGGTTGCCTCCGCTGCGATCCTTGGTGGCACATTTGGCGAACCGACTGAGATCATTTTGGGATGCCACAACATTCTCTGATATTCTCTGCTTCGGCCAGCATGAGTAAAGATGTTCCGAATTGCAGTTGAAGCTAGCTTGGGCCTGGTGCAGCGTTTACATGACACCGTTCAGTTCAGCTGTGTGCTGCAAACGCACTGTGCAAACAAGGCTGCACGCATGCACACAGCTAACAGCCGTCTCCATGTACGATCCCTGGACACTCGCTCAAGCTGAGAGTCTCGAAATGGAAGGCAGTGCCACTGGGCAGGGCGAATGCTTGGATTCGCTGGCCACGTTTCGGTTGCCGCGGCAATGCCAATGTAAATCCCAAGTTTTCAGCTCGAATGTGCATCCAGACTTCTGACAACAAGACATGGAGCTTCTGCGGTGCTTCAGCAAAAGCCACGGTGACCTCGATCATTCCTGGCAAAGCACTGGCATGCAGTAGTGAGGCTCGATCACAAGCTAGAACCGGTGCTGTGTCGTAGCGGACGAGCACGTCTGCCTACAGAACAAACGCCGGCCAGGAAACTCGCAGATAAAACTTGCTGGCCAAATGTCCGTCATCACGCACGACGACACGAGAAGCGGGCGCTACCAACCTCGGCTTGCATAGACTTGCGGTGCCTTGCCACAGCCACTGCGTGGGCGTCGTAATTTTGCCACCAGTATCTAAAACTGACTCTTAGACAATCATCCTGCCGTGTCCCTTTTGCCCGAGTAGCATGTTTTCCAAGCGCTTGCCGACCTGTTTCGCTGCCTTGCCTGCGACGGAGAAGCCAACCCCAGCCTTGGGAAGACACATGAAGCACTACAATGAATACACCCACTTACAGGCTTACAGAGATTAGGCAAACCGCACGTCAGCACAGAAAAGATGACCTGGTGCCTGGAGGCTCGAAGGCTGAATGCAAGGGAAGGTACAGGCGTACCAAATGCTGATCGTAGCTCGGGGAGCGCATCAGCAATCTCATCACCTAAAGCCCATGGCAAGTGACCCTAGTAAAACTGCAACCGTCTTTGTGCCACTGTGCCACCCTTTGTCTTTCGCAGCACGGTCTCCAAGCCCATCTCAATGCTCTCTGCCGAAGGCGAGCTGGATCCCACCGTTGCAGGCAAAAGAGCTGCCGACAGGAAGGGCACCTCGTCGACGAAGCTCTCTTTGCGCAAACCTCGCGATCCTTCGCAGAAAACTCACTAGACCGCTGCAGAGATGATCGCATCAGGCAGTCCTGTCCTGTGAGCCCACTGAGCTGCTCGTGCAAGAAGGAATCCATGCGTCGGTACAAGTCCAACATGTTTTGCCGCACCACTCCACCTCCTTTCCGCTCTCCAGCATATTGCACATATTGCAATGAGCGTGGCCAGTCTTCAGGGTCACAACCAACCGGGACCAAATTAATAGCAAGCGGACCGTTCGCATCGTCACGTTCATACTCGACCAACATCATGGCCAAACCTTGCAGGTCTCCGACAAGACCTGCAGGCTCGAGGTTGTCATCTGACTCTGTGCTTTGACCAGGAAAGTATGGTTCTGACCATACTCCACCAGGAGCAACTTGCTGTGGTGCAATGGCCACAAGGCACGCTGTCCAGTCTCTCAGCCTGGACGCTGTGTGCAGCGCAGCATAAGCACCAAAATAGCTCCCCAGGAGTGCCACCGGTGGCAGCTCTCCGGCTGGAGCTTCGCCTAGTACTTTTCTCTCAACCATCGCCCACTCAATGGCGCGACTGATATCCTCCGCAAATCCACGGCTGGCACGCCAAACTTTCCCAAACCCTGCGGAACCTCGGTAGTTCACCTTCCTCAGTGTACACGGGAAACGATTGCCCAGGGAAACCGTCAAGGCATGACTTTTTCGCGGCTTATGTGGCTTGCGCACCTGCATCTGTTGGGTGTCCTTTGTGTTTAGCGGAACTCGTTGAGTCTTGCTTGAATGCTGTGTTCCTCAAGCAGCTGCCAATTGAAATAATTGCAAATCGATGCAGCCCAGTTACAGGATGCCATACCCTCGACTGAGGAGCCATGCATCGAAACTGTCCGTGCCCCAGTTGTCGCGAAGATCGGGTCCATCATGCAACCGTACCACCAAGGCTGCAGCTCCTCATCGGTGGCGATGCAGTCATGAAGAAGGCAGATTGCAGAGGCTGTGCACCGCCCCGCCTTCTGACGGAAGCAGGAGATATGCGGGCACACTCGTGCCGTTAGTTGCACGTATCCTGTCCAGGTTCGAAAACATCTTCAAACTTTACGACTGCAGCCCGAAAGCAACACCAAGGTCCAAGCAGCTCCTGACGGAACAAGCATAATATCGACAGCTGGATCTTCATGGTGTTTGCCGTCCTGTGACCCTCCAGCGTCGGCTTCAAAGCAGCTGCTGCAGAGTTGGGAGCAGCACCTTTCAGTTCACAGTGAAGCACATGTAAGAAACATGCTCGGGCCCTGCATTGTCGAGCAGTTCTGCCGTATAGTCGTCCAAGTCACAGCAAGGTCGTCCAGGCGCTATGGCCCGCTAGGCTCAATCCACTGCAGCCCACTAAATAATCAACATGACTGACATCGCCTCTGGTCGGGAGAGCACGCCGTCCCAGCCATGTGAACATGCCGCCTTTCACAACCTGAGACCGACATGACACGACTGGCCTGGCATGAATGAGAACGACTCCCGGCCGTGCACCCAAGCGCAGTGAAGGAACTGCGGGGAGAGCGACCAAATCAGACAGAAGAGGATGTGCGAAAAATGCCACACATCGCTCAGCATGCATCTGCCAGGCGACCAGCTCCATTCCAGCCTCGTAACACAAGGTCAGACCAACACTCAATGGCTGCACAAGCATGCTATAAAGCAAGCTAAATTCCACCAGGTAGAGTAAAGGGATAAGTCCAGATGTTCTTCTCTGTTCGTGAAGCCGTGAAACACAATGTTATAAACAACAACATTGGGACTAACCCAGGAATCTGGAACTAGGAGGCAAACCCATGCGGAGTGAGGTTTTAACAACATACTGTACCAAACACCGTCCCGATCGCGACGATTCCGCCAATGTGATGAAGATAAAAAACGGGTGCGAACTCACATCTTGCACTGCCGCGAGGCATGCCTGGCTGTTTGCAATGGCATGTTCCCACATCATGCTATAGAATGTACAATAACGGTGCCTTCTTGTGTTGCTTGCAGTTTAGGAACAACACAACAGCCAAGGGCAACCGTTCAAACGGTGTTCGGCTTCACGAAAATGACGCCGCCTAATGCAGCTCACCGGGTCATGTGCCAAATATGTTCATTGCACACAACAGCCCAAATTCATTTCCCCTTTCAACCTTATGTCTAACAACATGAAAACGTGTGAACCCAGGTACTGTGCGGCCGAGCTCCTCGCATGACTCACACGCTGTCAAAATCTATGTGATTTTCTTTGCTGGGCCCTCACTGATGCAGCTATGATGGGCAGGAGAGTGCTCATGTTCGTCGTTGTTGCTGTTGCATGGCCATCTGCATGAACCGTCGACGAAAGCTCATCATCTCCATACAATTGCTGATGCAGGCGCAAGTTGCGTTGGATCTGTAATGGTGCAGGCTCGCCAGGAAGTGGCATGGCTGAAGGCTGAAGGTGCAAAGGAAGAACCACAATCCATGCGAGAGCAATGGCAGTTCACATGCTGGGATACTTGCGTCATAAAAGCGCTGCATAAGCCGCCACAACCATGTCTCAATATGACATTCACAGTACTGTGCCACATGCAGCGCTGAATTGAATCGCACAGACAGTGATAATCGAGAACATGCCAACAACAAGACCAAGACTGCACTCCCAAGAATATTGCAAATGATGTTCCACACGTGGATTCGAGGCGACCGAGCCAATTTGATGTTGGAACCACGTCCAGAGGGAGATATCCCACTTTTTGATGCCACACGACTGGCCTCAACATCCTGAACATGTGCCGATGTTAGCACTCAGACGATGCCTGTGCCACTGTCACCCCTGCGGCTCCTTGCTCCTGAGACCTACTCCGCTGCATCGAATTCTTGGAACGAACGACTTCAGTACATCAGCGCGACCGTGGGAGGACTGGACGCTTCATGCCCTTGCCTGTATCCTATTGTGCACAGTCGGCTGCTGCATATTCGAAACAAGATGGGATGCTCCATGCACATTGATGTATGTCTGCAGTTGCTCTGGCATGATTGGAGACTTGTGCCCATACTGGCTTCTCAAGTCTGGCGGTGCTTGTGCTTTTGGTACAATATGCTGCAGCTTCGTGCGTATTTGCAATGGTACCAGGGGCTAATTGCATTTTCAGGTTGGGCGACGAACCTTGCAGCGGGCCAGTGTAATGCTGTGGTCTTTGGAGATGTAGAAGCGGTATGTGCATTTTGCAACTCCTTCGTGGTCTGCTTCACGACAGCTTGACACTGCAACTTGGTATATACGCCAATGCCTGGATCTTACGCTTTCTGTTGTCACAATCATTGGTTCGACCTTTCGCCCCACTGCCCCGACTTAAACCACGTGCTCCTCTACCCCGGCTTCGTCGAGCTCCTTTGCTTCGTCTTCGCACACTGCAGAAGGCCAAAGATGCTCAGGCACGGCCAAAAACTCGGCCTAAGTCTCGTCCTGCTCCGGATGCATGAGATTTAAAGCCATGTCTGGGACCTGATGCCCCAGCTATCACTTCTGGTGCTTTGCGCAGGCCGGCGGGAAGCAGACTGGTTGAGATGACGATGCTTACAGGACAAGCATTTCCAGATGATGGACTACTCCTGTGTACCGGTCCCAGCATCGCTGGCACCACCACCTACGGATGGATGATGCTGCAGTTACTGGAGCAGATGATGGTATTACCAGTACCGGTGATGGGCAGAATGGCAGTGAGACACGACGAAGCAATCTCAATACAGAAGGCCAACATGGGTTATGTGTGGTTCCTTCGCGCCTCGGGCCCGGAGGCGTCACAATGATTGCTGTGCCAACTCCGTGGCAATATCCCTTTCTTGGCTTGGATAAATGTTGGCTTGGACATATGATATACGTTACAGAACAACGTGCGTGCAGCTGGTATTTTCTCCAGTTGCCTTGGTGTTGCGCTGGGGGCTCGGTCCTTGTTGCTCACAAATTGCATCCCGTGGTTAGGATCTTTGCACAGAGAGCAGTCAAAGGCCCGACCAGATGCTTTTCTTGGTACTTGGCAGACACGCACTGTACGGGAGCATCGTCTATGTGTCATTGATTCAGGCTCCATCTATGCCCCTATCAAGTTGGAAGGCACAGGTCACAGATTTATCTGCAGACGTGTTTGGATATGTGGGAGGGCCAGCATTATATACATGCCCTAGTTCTCCAGATACATCATTTTGATTATTTGGAGGATCAGGTTGTGAAGTCACGTCATCGAATATCTGTGCGCTCAGGTCTAGAGGTGGCAGTTCCCACTCCGGTTCTGTGGAGACTGTCATGCTCAAATACAAAGTGGCCTTTGTGATTTATCACCTTGGGGACACTCTGCGCACAGGCCGCTACAGAGCCTCACTCAGTGTACCAGGTCGGGCCCTTGGCTTCAGTCAGGCTCGAAGTTCCTGCTGACTGATGATGGCCGTACGCCGTATCCCTCAGCTGGCCTCTGCTCAGCGCTCTGACATGGAGCGCAACCGCTATGTGATTGGCTTCTGTCGTGCTGTGGACTGAACCGGGTTGCACTCTTCTCACTCCTTTATATGCCTCCTCATATCGAAGCTGCTTGCATTCTATTGTTTGTGTGTATATGTGTCTCATCCACGCGGATCTCAGTGATGTCATATCTGCGGATCAACTTCGACGTTTACGACTTTTCATCGAGTGGGGAGCATGCACAAAGTGCAACCGTTAAGGTGTTTCGGTTATACTCCGATTAGGGCTCTCAAATTCATCATCCTGGCAGGGCTGCATGGTCTGCCCGACCCCCTTTCCTGCGTGTGCCTTCAACCGACTTGTGAGCAGTCGTGGACCAGAATGAATGATCTGTTTTGGGAACTGTTATGCTTCCTCAGTTTACTGATGATGTTGGCATGCTCATGTCGGCGCTGGTCCACGGTGCAGCATCCCACTTGATTGGACGTGGCCCACTATGATGATATGCTCTAATATCCAGTTTGCCTCCTGTGTAGGCTTATATGGTCTATAGTGAGGATCCTGTTCGGCATTTGACATCTTGGTTGGTAGGTCGGGTTTGACTATCGAGGTGCGTTGATACCCTGCACTATGTCTCGTATTCTCCTGTCGCGATCTGTCAAGCAGCAATGATTGCCCATATAGTCTCTTTTGGAATTATCATGTACGTCTACTGTTACCTGACTGGCCTTTGTTGTATAGTTGATCGGCGGACTGCCGGGTTGTAGACCTTGGATGCTCTGCCGATTCGCATTTTCCCTCCACGACGACATACCTGAGTCGCTTCGCATGAATGTGTCTTTTGCCTATGAGGGTTTATGCACTTTTGCTCCCTGCTGATCTTGTCGAAGCGACTCAGTACCAGGCCTTAGATGGTATTCGTACTGGGCTGTATGCGTTGGCAATCCCTGACATGTGACAGATTCTTCGCGAGTCGATCATCACACCGCTTTCTGATGAGCTGACACTGAGGAACGCACCGGGATGTTTCCTTAACTTTGTGGTCTCATGTACTGGATATTGGGCTCAATTGTTTTGTTCTTGTGTTATTGTAGACACCAATGAATGCGGCTCCTGTCACGCTGCACACGTCAGCTGATCTTTACATATGTCTTTTCGTCTGATTTGTAAGCAGCCTACGGACAGCCGATCCTGCTTCCAAGCTGGCCAACTAGTAGGGCCTTTGCCGTGATATGTCTTAGCATATGTTACTCATGACTGCCTTCTGCTTGGGCACGGCTACAATCTTGATTTGGACGAGTGACCCTTTACGTGCTGATACCGGTATCAGGCATAGGTGGAATTATTGGTGCCATATGACTTTCTGCGACCGCCTATGCGTCTGCTTGGGTCTTCGGACCGGGAGGCTACACGCGCTGGTATGCATGCTTGGTCCTACGGGACAGCGCAAGGCTCGGACGTCTCTTGCTTTTCCACGTTGCGAATCACCTGGTGGCCAAAATGCCACCGATGCCCTTTGGCCATCCGAATCTTGTGACATGTTTGCCATTCTGCGAGCTGGCGGGAGGAAGTCAGTACTTCCTCAAGCCCGCCGGAAGCGACAGGGAAGCCGTTGAATTCACGAGTCCGACGCTGAGGGGTAGTTGGCGACCAATAGTCCATGATAAATTCCGTTGGTTAACATTCAACATCTGTTGGTGACAATTTTCTGGGCAAGGTCAACACTGTGGGACTTGACTTGAATCCAAGACTTTTCGGGGATGTGCGCTTAGTGATAAGCTGAATAGGTCAGACATGTTTTCGTGGTGATTGGTCATCCAGTGCATGTGGCGGCTGCACAAGCTCAGTTTCAGTTGGATTACGCCTACGCGCCAACGCCTTCAGCCATTGGTTGATCCTCCATCGCCAGCACCTGCAGAGATAAACGAAGAGATGCTTTCGACCATTACGAAGGATCTAAGTTTCTCTATTAACACACCAGCACATAGGGGTCCTGTACCCTTTTGTCGTCGAGGCTGCTCTCGGTGATGCTGTATGAACATCATCAGAAGGCTCTTGCGCAAATCAGCTCCAATTAGTCCAGTTTGTACTTGACTGGCCAGTTCGATCAGAGAAATCTCATCCGTGTGATAATAAGACCCAGTAAGAACGTCTACCAGTTGAGAGCAGCATGTGGTTGCATCCGGTTCTTCGTCGTAGGGACCCATATGATTAGTCATAGGTAGCATATCCACGCCAATCGAGGAGGTGCATACAGAAACTCTTTCAATCAGCGACCCAGCGGACGAGATCGGACGAGTGAGTCGGCGTGACTGCCAAGCTCGTAACTGCCTGATCCCAACGCTGGAAGCTGCTGTGACCACTGCGACGCCTCAATGGTACGGGATATCAAGCGTGCTTTCCGCTCTCATGCAGTGAGTCAGGCTGACCAAAAGTGACAAAACAACCACGGCCAGACGGCAAGGGCGGGCCATGGTGCAAAGATGGGCGGGCGTCTGTGCTAAACAGTGTAGATGGCATGAAAAAATATCAAACTCCTGGCGCAACGAAGCATGTGAACGTCTAGATCATGACCGAAATAAGTGAACAGCACCCCACAAGAGAAGCCAGGAGCTTTCTCGGCCAGTGCACGCGTGCAACACGAAATTCGAGCTTCCCGTTAAGACAAATGCCGCGCCTGACCAATTTCGCGCCATGGGGACAACTTTTCCGCGAGTTTAAAAGCCTCTGCATGTTGCAAGTGCGCGTGGATCCCTCTAACCACTTGGCTCACGGCTTGCGGGCAGCTCCCACTCCCTCCTCGACCTCGATGCCGTCACGATGGTAACACAAGGAACACGCGGTTGAACGAACCCAGACTCCCAGACTGTAGACTTGGAGAAAGCCCTAAAGCCCGTGGAAAGGATTTGCGTTGGTCCACACATGCGCATTTAGCTGGCATGAATGCCTGTCAGCCGCAAGAGGTGAGAGAGCACGGCTTGAACGAAGGATGTCGAAGGAAACTCCCACGCTGGCCTCGCACCATCTTCAGGCACTGAAGCTGCAGCATCGTTGCCCCCTCCCTCCCGCATGTCAATGATGGGCCGATGCCGTTTTTGCCAGAGAGCGAAAAAAAGAGAGAGAGAGAGAGAGAGACAGATCCCCCTGCCATGAAGACTGTTTATTGGAAGTAAACCGCCTGACAACACCCACAAGGGTTACCAAAATGCTGTTCTTGGAGGGTCATGATTGACCCGGCAGCAAATCGCAGAAAGGACACAGCCACACATCCGGTCTGGAACCATGATGCACGAAGAGCTGTCGGAAACAAATTTCAATTCTCTGGAGGACAATTTTCGAGTTCTTGGTTGGCCTCTCGGTCGTCGCGCATGGACCGTTTGCGGATCACTGCCGTGTCACTGGGGACATGGATAGTGCCTGATGTCCAAGGCTGGGTGGATAGTGGCTGATGTCCAAAGCTGGGTGATGCGGATTGAAGCTCGCCAACATGGAGGTCGCGCTCAGACTTGCGAGTGTAAGCCAACCAACGTTCCGCAACCATCCTGCAGCGCATGCCGAAAAATTCATCAATCATCCCAACGACGGCATGCGCCAGCCTACGCAAACGATCTATAACAGTTTAGCTCTGTGCATATTCTCAATCTGTTCAAGAAGTGGCATGGGCACGCCACGGACAAGGTGGTCACCATCGTGGCCACGCCAGCACGGCACCCAAGACTCCAAAGAAGTCTCCTCAACCTGTCGCTAATGCCGACGTATCTCTCGTGCTGTACAAGCACATAAGTATCAGTCTTGACAACTTGGCGTAACGACGAACAGTCAATAAGATGTATTCGTAAGTAGGTGCTGAAGCTGGCCACAACTCAGACTCAAGCTTGTCCATGTCATCAGTGCCTAACTGCCGATCGCGGAGGATGGGATTCTCGGATGTCCACTGGACGCGGGCAGAGATGTCTACTTGACGCCGAGGCTTGACTGTCATCTGCTCCGTAGCTTTGAGGAAGCCCTGGCGATCCGCGCGTCAACGCAGCGAGACGACCCCCAACGAAGAACGCATGGCATCGTGGGTGTCCTCATGACGCTGCATGGGGTGGCGAAGAACGCTGTAATCTTCCCAAGAGACGCCAGGTGCTTGAACCATCCAGACAGGTGCGCACTCCATGACCCGTGAGGTGATGTTGTACAGTATGTTGGAGGTGGCTGTCCAGCTCAGGAAGTTGCGCTGGGGCGGCTTTTTCGGCATGCAGGGCGGCTAGCAGTTTTGAGAAGCATCTCACGCGGGTCTGTGGGGCAACCGCCGTGTCGGTCCTGACGATTCTGCTGAAACTTCGCGCCTTGCAACATGCTGACGCGACTGGCAAGCTGGGGGAATGCCGCCTTCGACGATGCTTCTGGAGCCCGACCCTGGGTCCACTATTTTTTTCCACTGCATCTTCATGGCTATTATGGCTCACACTCATTCGGCTCTTTGTCAAAATTTGGATTCTCGTTGAATTTGCGACCAGACTGAGAGCATGATGCTCCGAAACTGTGTTGTAACAGCGTACGTACCGGAAGGATATCTTCGCGAACATCAGACTTAAAGGATCTGGCCAAACTTCCTACGAACAAGCATCAAACCAGGGGTGGTTGCAAAAGCACTCGGCTGGACAATTCGTATCCGAAAGGGCTCAGGAGTTCAACATGTTTCAAGAGGGCCTTACCCAAAAAATGACCTGAGATCTGTGTAAAATTATGAGTTCTACCAGGCAACAGTTGCTACGTCAACCTCGTAGAGCTGAATCTTGTCGGGAAGGTGTGTCCGAAGCGACCGGAGTGTACCCTCATGCTCTTGTGAAAGGCTATAGGTCTTGGGCTTCAGGTCTTGCACCGACACTGCCTCAACATCTTCCTTAGTTGCAGCTTCTCGCACATGATTACCAAGACGGGACGAACCACAGCGACGCTCAGAATCCAAAAAGTGAGTGTCAATTCATTAGGTCCCAGTCACTGTCTCCGGATTGATCCACACTCCACTCCTTCGCTGCTCGGCGCTACCGCACCGCACGCCGCCCCCACCGAACACCGCCCACAACTGTCAAAAGGCAAAAATGCCTGTGTATGGTCCAAGCCTCGCAACGACGTCGCAAAAGGGATGCACAAAAATTGGCTGAGGCGCGTCTCCAGCGGACAGCCGCACTAAAGCTGAGGTCTGCCGCAACACAGCTTGTTCAAGGATCCAGGAAGCGAGGTCTTCGTCAGAGGGCTTTGTAATATCCGAAGCCAAATCCTCGGGTTGCGGGAAATGCTCCGGCAAGCTGCCGACAGCAGCAGTGTCGATGACGATGGCACCGTGAGGCGTGGCAGATACCTGCAAGACGGGAAAATGGCTGAATCCAACAGCCTTTGAACACGTTGGCCCGTTTGCAAACGGGTCACTAAGTGCTCTTGTGGCAGAAGAGGCTGTAAAGCCAGAGATGCACTCAGGGCGTCTGGATCTAGGCTCAGGACACCTCAGATGTGGTGAGCTGCACAGCAGAACCGAGGGGCAGGTGGTTGCTCCTGTCTGCCTTTCCTACGGTTCGCGACAACAGGTGCCAACACCGGAAATGGAGTCAACCCTGGTGAACTCTTGAACTCAGCTAGCTGAGGCTGAAGATCGGCGAGATGCAGCAAACCAGCTACGAGAAGTTGCACGTCAGCAAGACACCAGTGTGCCAGTGGTGCGGTTCTCGGGGTACCGTGCTATGCGTTGAGGTAACCAGTCACTATAGTTACTAGCCACCCTGGCGTCCTGCGCCCAAGTCCACTACACAAGCAACTCAGCACTGTGCACACCGATCTTTTTTTTGGCAGCTCCCTGCCCACCCCTCTTGACATTGCCACTAGCCTTCCTTCCTGCGCCTTCCCTGCCGTTCAGTTCCAGTAAAATTTCAGCAAGGCGAAGGCAGACGCAGACATGTGACCAAGATCCAGCCAGCCATCCGCACTCTGCCGAAGAACAGTGCCGTTCGACAGCAGTACCGCATCCTTAAGGCTCAGGAATCGGGTAGTGACATCTCTCGCAAGTACTATCGAAGCTGCGGAACTGTCACGTCTTGTCGATTTGGCTTATGAGATGAGACTTGTTCGTGAGACAATGCATACCCATGTATACAAATCCGGACGATTGTGCTGCTATAACTTTCTGCGGTGTCCTGATCACACCTCACAGTAGCGCCTCCCAGTATTAGCACTGTGGTTTCTAGTCGTGTGGCTGTATATTACCCGCACGGGCGACATAGACTGCTTCAAAGGCAGACTGCTCGAACCACATGCTGGTCTGAGCCACTATGACCCCATCCTTCGACAGGGCGACTTCTCGCCATTCGCCCGTCGGCAGCACAGCATCGCCAGCATCAGCAGTGTCACCAGAAGGCGTGCTGCACCATGCCCTGATGTAGCACGGACTGTTATTCAGCTGCCGGCGACAGGAAAAAATGCATGAATTTGGGCAGGATTCCAGGAAAAGCTGGTGCTTGCTCCATCGGGCATGGTGAATCCCACGAGCACCTCCCAGCTGGTCCCAGCTTCCAGAACACGAAATGCCTGGATCTACGGCCTCCGGAGAGTCGGCAGTCCGAATCATGGGCAAGCCCGAACGACCTGTGGCTCTACGGACTTGGACGCTCCGCGACTGAGAGGCGGAATCTGCTGTGGACCTGGCCCAAAGGAACGAAGAAATTGGCCTCACAAGGCAAAGAAGGCACCCCTGTCTTTCGCCCCGGCTCTAGGGCCTAGGGATGCCTGGAGTACTTTAGGTCAACGAATCAACAACCAGACTCCAGAACGCGCCTCGCTGCTTGGCATTCGGATCACCGACGCCTTGGCAAAGGCTCTGTCTACGAGTCTACGAGTCTACGACGTGTCTACGAAGTCTACGACATCTTGAACCGCCCCACTTCGGAACCAGGTCTGGCCTTGCCCTCGCGAAGGTCGGCAATCCAACCATAGAAACGTCCACTGGGTCCCTGTCCCGTCATGTGCCAGGGGAGATCATGGAAAGGGGTCAAGCACAGAAGGCCTTCAACTGGTCCTCTTTTGCTTGCTGCTTGCTGCTCGCTCCCCCTCGGGATCTTTGCTTGGAAACGGCCTCCTGGGCTGTCGCTGCTCCCTTTTAGGGTTCGCAACGCAACCACTGCCCGACCAAACTGCTATGTCACGTGCAAGGGAGTCTGCCCCAGATGCACCAATCTCTTCAGAGTCTTGGACTTCCAAGTTCGTCGGGCACAGGCACCGAAGGAAGTGGCGCACAAGGAAACCAGTAAATTGAAGCAAAACCTGTTGGTCTTACCTTGATCTTGTCAGCAAAGAAGAACCTGGGATTTTGAAGAAGTCGGTCTGTGAAACGCTCTGGGCGAAGGCCGGGAAGTGTACAATGCTGTACAATACCAACTAAAGTTCACAATGTGCATGGGCGAGTCACGCATATGTGAAGATCTCAAGTTCCTGGCAGATGGTGCAGCCTGCCTTCACTCTATGATGTTCGTGGTCCGCTGTATCGATCATGCTACTTTCCTGCAACTGTTGAAGCTACCCAGCATGGTGCCCCGTTGACACAGCTCAAACTTGCGTCCTTGTCACCAGGATCGGAAATCGAATTGAAAAGCAACTTTGAATCCGATTGATTTCCTGGCTGGCCAAAACATACTTGCGGCGTTCTACCGTGCATCACCAGAAGGAGTTGTCTCAGATTTGCAGCTGAGCAGCCGTTCACAGCCACAATACGATCACCCTTGCTTATGGAGCCAGGCTTCTCCTGCCAATCGTCTTGAGCTTTTGAGCTTCCGCGCGTCACCCCTAAGACCTCTGAAGAACTGTCGGTAGAGGAACTTGGAAACGTGCCGTGCCCAGTTGCCGGGATTCGAGAGACACTGAAACACGAGCTGGAGCGGGACATTCTCGACTTGCAGTTACAGAGACCATAGCCTTACCGGGAGCCGAGCTAATCCGTGACTCCCGAATATAGACCATGCTGTGTTTTTTGTTTGCACGATTCCGATTGCGTTGTCCCTCACGCTTCTGGAAACCATGCTGGCTACAACTCCAGTGCTAATTAATTGCGGCCTTCCTCAAGGTCTTGAGCTACATGTAGGCTTTCTAATTGGATGATCGTCAACGGTTTTTCTGGTCTGCAAACAAACACTTCAGGACAGTCCAGGCTAGTTGGGCCAGTCGCAGGGCTTCCGAAAGCTGCTTTGAGGCCGGGTGGTCTGATACCACTTGGCAGTCTGTCACCCTCCTCAGAGGCACCTCGGTGGACCTCTTCGATCTGCAGAGGACAAGGCGAGGCTACCTCCACGTTAGCATATTTGCCATACTGAGCATCGAGCATCCCATCAGCTCTCAGGCTCAGTCAGCCGGATGCCCCGGACCCAAGGGATGTGCTGCGACGTCATGTCCAACAAGGCTTCGGCACTTCAGTCTCCCACGCCCGCGCGGCACGTCTGCGGCACGTGCATTGGTTCGTCAAGTCTTCGATCCCATTAAACCGGCAACATGAAGCAATAACGAAACAAACGCGGAGCTCGTGCATGTTGGGATTGTCACTCGACCGCGTCAGTTAAGGCATTGGAGCGGCTGGGTCGTGAGGCACATAGCAATGACCACGGGTCAGTGTCCTTGTTCAAGGAAGGAATCTGGCCATCTTCTTTCACTTCACTGACCTGCCGTGTCTGAGCAGGAGGAGCGGAGGAGCACACGCGAAAACAAACAGCACGGCCTCAAGACCAAATCCATCCTGTAGCTCCGATACCTCAGACGCAACGGCTGATCTGTGTGGGCTTGTGGGTGTCGCTGCACAGAACCTTTAGCTCTCCTGACCTCCCGCATCAGTTTTCTCTCGACACGGCCGAGGCAATGGCCTTGATTCCTAGCTTCTGCTCTGCCTGGCAAATCCGTGATGCAAGGCTTGAACTTCAAGTCCCGATTCGCGTGCTACGGAAACGTGTGCATAACGAGAGTCTGATCCCATACTCACGATGTTGGCGATGCCTTGACAACCGCCGCCGCTCCGCCAGGCCGTGGGTGGGGTGGCGGCGTGGTGGCTGGGTGGTAGCGAGGAGGGGTGATGGCAGGGTGGTGGCTGGTGGGCGGGGTGGTGGCAGGGTGCTGGGTGGCTGGGCAGTGGCTGGGTGGCTGGGTTCTGGGTGGTGTTGGCTGGCTGGGTGGTGGGGTTGGGCTGCCACCCGTCGCGTGCAGGAATTACAACAGTCATGGCACTCAAGACAATGCTTCAATGGAAAGCTTAATTTAAAGACTGCCAAAAAGTACCCTGTGGATTGATAAGGCTGGACACAATTGGGACTTAGAACGCACTGCTTACGTTGTGCTGCTAGCCGACCAGCCTTGCATTGCAGCGCGACTCTTCCAGGACGCTGGATGTGCATCTGCACCTGTGTACACACAGCTGAAGAGATAAATTGATAAGTATTGATAAGGATAGAACTCCCCGTTCGAAAGCCAGAGGATTCCATGACATCTGAGGCCCCATCGTCTATGACTTAGGCAAGCACAAGACCCTGAGCATCTGCCAACTGCTGCGCGAGCTGAGATGGGGAGCTGTCTTTGCCATTCACCTGGCCCCAAAAAGAGCACTCGACAATCCTCGACGAGCTTCAGTTCCCCCTGCATGCCCGGAGCCTGCACGATGCGGTCGCCAGGCCTTATCTCCTGGCGATGGACGTACCCATGCGACAAAGACTTCCAAGACATTCCGTTCAAGCCGGCACCTTTCCATCAGCGTTCGATAAGTTCCTCGGTTCGAGCTAAGGGCACTTGGGCGCATCCAGGAAGGATGCCTACCATAAATAGCTAGCTATACATCCGAATCCCGTACTGGTAGGAATGCAACATTGCCACCAAGGTGCCAGGAAGGAATCGCCCCTTGAGTAACAGCCTGTGCATGTGAAATCAAGCAAGAACCATTTCGGCCTCGACGATTCTCGACGATTTCGGGGACCGAGTAAGCAAGACTGCAACCCCTAAACAAGTATGTCATTCGAAACCTTTGGGTGCCTAAGTTCGCAGGTTTTTGCCTGTATTGTCGCACGCGGTGTCTTGCCCCAGAGATGTAGTAGTGTCCCGGCATGGTCATGTTTCGAAGACGAAGAAACAGCTGAAACCTGCAATTTGGAAAACTGAGAGTGCAGCAACGACGAGGCATTTGTCGCTGACATATTCCACGCGGATGCCCAAGGGCTTGCCGTCCTTGTTGACCTGATCATGACACCCTCAGACTGCCAGCGTGGAGACTCGAAACCACGGGACATGCAGATCAACCGGTGATTGGGTCAAGTCATGTCAATGTATCGGGAGCACCAAGGAAGCTGCCTCGCACACGAAGTGGCTTGGTTTGTCATCATCTTCTTGCACCTGAGACCGAACACCCCTGGGAAGGAGAAGGCTTCAAGGCCCTGTTAGAGAACCCATCTGGAATCCGGGGCACCTTCCACGACTCTTCGACAGGCGCGTCGGCCTAACAGCAAGGACGATGACGCTGCACCAGTCACAAACGTGAAAGGACTCAGAGAGATATGTAATGGACGCAGAGCACATTACGGCAAGCGGCAAGCGTATGAGAAGCAGTCTTGGGCTCTGTAGTTGTATACGATTGCCAGCGGAAGGCCAGCATCATACATAGTTAATCGCCAACGCAAGCTCTGCTTCCTCGAACACTAGGTGCTGCGCTGGTCTAGAATCAAACGTCTAAAACCGCAACAGCTTCTGCCAAGTTTCCTGGATGGGGCAGGCATCATCTATCTAACCAGTCTTTCGGCAGCCGTACTGGAGAGGTGATGCTTGCGGTGTAGCGAACAGTGTTGTTGATGCCTCTAAATGGCGTCCAAACACGGAAGCCTCTCGACATACAGCATATTTACTCATTCCAGTATTGTGGGGGCATTGCAAAAACCTGGCATGCGTCTGTGACACATTTTTCAGATCAGGACACTGAGAGGCCGCATTCCACGGCCCACAGCTGCTTAAAGCGACGCGTTTGCCGTTTTGCTTCAAGCAGACATGCTGCTGTCCGTCAATCTGCTGCAGCCGTTGCCGCATGCGGTTGGTTGAACACAAACGGCCGAGGCAGGTGGAAGGAGCTTGACACGCTCCGTGTGACTTCGCCAAAGCTGGCACCTTTCCTCCATGCGTGGTCCTTGCGGGGGACCATCCGTAAAATGCGGCCACTCTCGCGTAACGAAGGTGGTTCGCATCGGTGGTGCAGAAAAGCTGGCGTGGACACTACTTGATGTCCAGCACAACCGAGCGAACTGAGCCCAGCCTGCCCCAACCTAGCACTGGTGGCCACCTGTCCTACACAGGCCTGCAAAATTGTCGGGACATGTCGGGACCCTTCTGAAAGCCAGGGACGTGATGTTCTTTTCAGGATGCATGGTCAAAGACAGCTGCACATAGTTGACTTGGCCAAGCCGGACAACAACTTCTGCACGCTACTGCACCGTCGATGCAGGCCACCTCGCCGCAGTGCTTGCATACAAAAGAAGAGCTCGCACCACACAGCCACCAAAGTTTTTGCAGATGGTCCTGAACTCTTAGCAATGTTTCGCGAGTTGCGCTCAAGTCTGCTGGTACGTTGGACCCTGCTGAATCCGCTTCTGTTACGACGGGGGTCTATTAGGTCTGCCGGTGGCGCGGGATGGGGTCTGATATGCTTGCTACTGTGAGGTCTCGTAAGTCTGCTCTTCCACGCCCCTGACGAAGTCTGTCCCGAAAGTGCTTGACGGCTCGTGCTCGGGCAGCGATCTGGAGTAGGCGGATTCCTGATCACCATCCAGATCGTGGTGGGCGACTCGTTGCAAAGCTGCAGCATGAGGGCAGCCGACTGTGACAGCCAAGCACTCCGAACATTGCACAACAGGCTTCCGCGAGATCACCAGCATTGGAACGATGCAGGTTCAAGTCAAGGTTCCAAAGCACGTGGTGTGGCTGACCGCGTCGCTTCTGCATGCATCTCACCGTAGCTCATGGCAACGCGAGGCATGTAGTCTAACCACCGAGAGAAAGGCATTAGTACTTGTTGTTGTTTCAACTTGCTGCTGCTTCGTCGCACAAGCAAGCATAACAAGCAAGAACATCCCAATGGTTCAGCCAGGACACGACGGTGAGGGTGAGATCGCTTTCCTGGACTTGCGAGACCTCGCTTTTGGGACAGTGTTAATTTGAGAATCCGAACAGTTGGCATCGGCCTCCACCGGTGCATCTTGCAGCGCAGGGTCATCCGGAGCCTAGCAAGTTGGATGCGGTTTGCCACGCAACCATACGCATACCAACACACAAATTCAACACAGCTTGCCTTCCCCGGGGTGGTGCCGAGCTCCAATGCCTCGACGAGTGAACACGAGGGCGAGCCGCACAAAAGCGAGGATAACGTGGAGGTCCGGGCTCGGGGTGAGTCTCCCAGCGAGATGACCTGTCAGGAGGAACGCTCTTCTAGAGCACTACCAGGCCAGCGGATGCCGAGCGCGAAACTTGCGCGGCTGTGGTTACAATCTGGCATGACTGACCTCACCGAAACGGGTTGAGCAGGAAAATTGAAATTTGCATAACCTCGGGTTCCCCAGCTCAGCGGGCTCATGCCAGGGCAACTATTGCAAGGCCTCGGCGACTCGAGGTGCGGCGATACGACTCTGTGCCAGTGCACCTTCTCGCATCTCGGAGCCCCGGCTTCTGGCAATGGCCATCTACCCATACAGGCCGCTTGAGCCGGCGGCTGCACCACGGAACCACTTCGCACGGCCTTTTGCCGTGTCCGTTGGATCTTAAACCTTAAAGATGCTTCGCTGTTGCAGATTCTAGGTCAGAGAAATTTGACGGTGCAATCTAATGAAAAACTGCGGGACCGTCTACTCTTTTTGCTTTTGCCTTTGCTGGGGTGTTGCCGCCTGCGCCCATCCACCTCCCGACGGCTGAAATCGGCGAGGCACAATCACCCACAGCCAGGAATTTTGAATTTGGTTTGTCGTGCAGTCATGCGGGTTCCTCACCGGCCCTCTTTCGTGAAAAGTTGTTGGGCTTCTGCCACGTGCTGCCGCCGCAGACGCACCGTTGCCGCCGCTGCCAACCCCTCCCGGAACCGCCACCGGACGTCTCGGATCCACCTCCCCTCTCCCCGCAGCCAAACGGTTCCTTGAGGTGGTACTTAAGGAAATCTAAAGAATCAAGTAACCCGTGGCCCTGCACGTCTGCAGCCAGTGGTGCGGCAGCGGGATCGAATGGCTCAGGCTTCACAACCCCACACAGCTCCCTGCCTAATGGCTTGCACTGCCTAAGCGATGCCGCTTTTGGCTGCTTGACCCATTCACTTCCTTTCGCAACGGCCTCGTAGCCTGTGATGAGGAAGCTCCCGCCATCCAGCCAGAAAAGGTCTCGAACGCCCATGATGCCGACCTTGTCCCTGTCGAATCCAAACATGAGCAACCGAAGATCTAACTTGCCCTGTGCACCTCGGGATGATTGTGATTCGCTCGACCTAAGAATCATTGAATATGTAAAACAGCCATCATTCAATCAGCAACTCCTGTGTAAGCGACCTTCCGCTTGGCTGCACGCTGCGCGCCTTCCTGAGGGCCGGCTTGGTTCAGACCACCGCAGACGATTCGGTAGAATGTAGACAGACGGATACCAACGGCGTGCCATTCAAGCTCGCGTGCAAGTTGTAGCCGAAGACACACTAGACTGGATGCGCCTGGCTTCCGAACGATGGTGCTGCCTCCACGCGAATCCTTGGCACAAAGTCCCATGCCGACATACATCGGAAAATCTACAACTTGTTCCAAGACCAGTCGGCTTTCACTTTTCAGGTCCAGACACGATGCCTGGTTCGCAGAATTCGAATCGAGCAGTACGCTCACCGTCAGGGCCTAGGTACGTCATCTGAACAAGCATGTGTCACTTCTGCCACTGGCTGCAAGTTAACCACTATTACATAGGATTCCTGCTGAGGAGAAGTGGCTGCACGGTCGGCGTCAAAAATGGAGCCTGACAAGCTGAGTCTGGAGGATGGAAAGATGCAGCCTTGAACTCACATGACCACAGTCAACACAGTCGAGACCCAACAGTCGCGCCGCACACAAGTCAGAGCCTCTGCAGTTGGAATAAAGTCCGCATGGCTGCCTTCAACTGTCACACCACAGATCGACATAGTTGCTAAAGCATAAATCCCCTCCATGTGATACTGCCTCCGTGTCTCCAAGCAGATGTTTGGGCACATTTGCATCTGAAGCTGAAGTCAAAAGCCAACCTCACTCAAGAATCTCCGACCCGGAATGTCAAGTCACAACGCCCTCCCGTTTCTTCTTATGTAGTACCACCCGGACGACCAGCACGACGACCGCTCCGCCATGGAGAAACTGGAGGTCGTAGGCTGGCCGCCGGACGAGGTCCCTGAGTGGTCATGACGTGCACCATTCTCCTTACATGCCACTTACAACTGTGACTGAGACTGGAACTGGTCGAACGATTGCCTTCACCGACAATCCCACCCAGCACTGCGCAAAGCCAAAACATGCCTGGCTTCTGCCGTGGTTTAAACGAGACTTTTGCTGCGACGAGTCTGCGACGAGTTGACAATTCCTCAGGGTCGGACCGTGCAAGCTATCACCCCGAACGTCGTTGGCGAGAATCCTTTGTATCTCTGGCTCCTTTGGGTTTGTGATGAGACGTGGACCGATGCAAACAAGAATGACTCAATTGTTCAACCTTGCGGAGACTTGTGGTGCACACACAACTGCCAAACCTATCTTGGGCACGGATGACATGGAGAAAACACACGTCGCAAGCTGGTACTGAGAAAGTGGAGACTTGCCTGCACATGCTGCATGGCGTCTCGCTGCTTCTTATGTCTCCGTATGAGAACATTCTTTACCACTGCATTGGACAGTTTTGGGCATCAGTGACCAGAGTCTGTATTATTGTACATGTAAAACCACGCTAGGGTGAACGGTGTCCCAATGCCGCGAATGCAGTGCCGCATTGTCCCAAACCCATCCTTCGCGAGTGGACTCTCCGCATTTGTACACGTGGCAACCTGCTTCTTTACAGCAAACTGGTGTGAGCTGCAAGACTCTAAACAACAATGCAACAAAAACTCGCCTGTCATCCATCGGCACTTGATGCCTGACGCTGCACTTTGTTTACTCGAAGCTGCACCCCCTGTAGTTACTGTAGTTACAACAGCCACCAAAAAAACAGTGGTTCATGTCTCTTCTTCTGCAGTTTCAACGAGGCTTAAGTGAAGGCTTGCCGCAGTAAGAATGGGCCCCTGACATCACGGAAGCACGGCATTGCGATTGATTGGCCACAGCTACTGCAAGCCCAAATGCATCGGTGAGATGTGCTGAAACTTTAAGGCATTTACTTCGGACATTGACTCCAGAGAGCTCCCTCTGCACCGTCACAGGGTCACGTAAAACATGTCATGTCACATGTTGGAGCAGGAACCCCCCATCGCAAACAGCAGGGGCATTTTCCCCCACGCGCCAGAGGATTTTGAATGACGTGAAACGGCTGAAAAGACCTAAGCTTGCTGGAATCTATGCAATTCATGTTAACCCAGAACAGAGTGAAAACGTCCGATGCTGCACACAGTACATGCAACTGTTGCCTACAAACTTGACTTCAGAACACGACCACTCTTCACCACGTGCCATCGAAAGGGTCAGGGCAAGGCAGCTGTCACTCGGCGGCCTGTTCAGAGCGCTCACGATATGCCGCATGTGCGGGTGCCCTGTGAGGACCACGACAAAAGCTCAACAACATCTGTCGTCAGCAAGTCGCCCAGTGCATGCTACGACAATCACACGTGATGTGCCAACTCCAATCAGGCATATCAATGCACTGCATACGACAACGCATTGCGGCAACGGTTAGCATGCTGGCCTTGTCGGGGCTTGCCACGCACCGTAGCTTGGCCTACAACAATCGGAATTGACATACAGTTCTGTGCGTTGGATCATACCATATCATACCACTGGGGGCTGTGCACCTCTGCTTCATTGGCAGATTTGCTGAGCTCGGCTGCGGGCGTTTTTCTTTTTTGACCTGGGTCTTCGCACTGGTGCTCTGTCACGCAACAGCTCCCATGTGCGGCCTTTTGGGACCCTTTGTTGCTGACTCCGCCTGGGCTGTCGAACTGTTTGGAAGTCACGACCGTTTGTGCACAGCTCACCCGCTGCCTCTGAGTCTTCTGCGGATCCCTCTCTCCCAAAGGCCAGCGCGGCCGAATTTCCACGTGGCTGTCAGCACCTGAGCATGAGAAAGTTACTGGGAACTGCAAACGGTTTCAGTCAGTCAGTCGGTCATACGCCGGGCGGCGTGTGGACAGGCACAAACGGTCTAACGGGTGAATTTTTTGCTAAGCCGGCAGCTATCAACAGAAGGCGGCTCCTGGGCCCCAGAGAACTACACCCTGGGTTGGATTGGTTGGACACACGGCGGACGTTAGAGGTGTTAGGGCAATCTCAACACACGCTTTGCGCAAGTCTGATACTTGTAGTACATTAGCTACCACATCCTACCCAACACCCCCATGCTGCACCACCGAGAGTCGCAGCAAGTAAAACTGGGGCTTTAGTTTGGGTTTCCAACTGTTCGCTCGGACAGCTGACTCTTTCTAACCGTGTGGCGAAAGTGCCGGTTCGCCCCGAGAAAATGTCTAGCCTCCGGCTAGCTGGGTGGGCACTTCAAATTTGTCCACCGCTAGCCGTGCGGGCTTTCAGCATAATGGCCACGGATAGCAAGTTCCTCAAGCCGTGTGTTGCCCAACATTCTGATAGCAGGCAACCAGGCTCACCAGAAACTGCTTCGATGTTTCAACGTCGGATGTTCCATACACGGTCGTACCTCGTACCTCGGCACGAGTGCGTACAATAGCTAGCACATCCTACCCACCACCTCCCAACTACACCACCAGAAGTCGTAGCAAGTAAAGCTGGGGATTTAGCTTGGGCTTCCAACTGTTCGCTCGGACAGCTCACTCGCTTTAGCGGTGTGGCGAAAGTCCCGGTTCGCCCGAGAAAACCTCCAACCTCCGGCTAGCTGATCTCCTTGCGCAACCGTAAGGCTACCAGGAACCTAGCTTCCGGGTACCGTGTTGTCGTCGGTCCTCTTCCTCTCTCCTGGCTCTTGACATCTGAAAGTAACTCGCAACACTCGCCACTCTAGCGCTCCCCCTTCCAGGTCGATCCTCAAGTTCGGGCCGAAGCTAGCAGAGTTCTCGCTAATGAGATCGTCCGCTAGCTGGTTCAAGTCCCGACGGATCCACTGTTGCTGGAGCTCAAAGTTCTTGGCCGATAGCTCCCCAGCCAGCTCAATGATGAATCGCGAAGGGAACTTGGTGGCCATCGCCTTCAGGAGTAGCACCTCGTTGGAATCGTCGTCCGTGTAGCCGCTAATGGCCACCCGGGACGTCTTCTTAGCGTCCCCCTCGAACACCCAGAGTCCAGAGACGCACGCTCACCAGCGTAGCCAGGAGCTCTAGTGCAGCGATGACTTTGTTGGGGTCACCCTTTAGCGAAGGCCCAGGGGGCCCAAATCTTCCTCACTTTTCGCGAGAACCACAGCCCTTGGCACTACTTCCAGGAAGCCTCCGTCGAACTGCAGGCGACGAGGCCTGTAAATGGGCGCTACCAGTCCAGAGCGATGGTGGCAAGCCCGAGTGCACTCCACAGGGAAGCCGTTTCGTGTCTTAGCCCGTTTGAAGGGGAAGCCTAGCGCCGACAAGAAGAGGTAGCTGAGGGGATCCCTCAACTGGTCTTCTTCTAGCGCCATGACGCATGGATTCCAGATCGTCCGCGTAGTAGCATGTCTAGCGGGAAGTTCTCCCCCAATAGGTGGTGCAGCCTACCAGCAACTAGCGCAGGATAGCCCAAAGCTACCCACCAGGTTCACATACATGGTCTGACTGGTGGGATCCCCCGCGCCGGTGTAGCCTCCTAGCTCGGTGTGAACTCGGCACACGAGGTAGCCGTGCTCCTCGGCATCGTGCTTGTAGCGACCATGACGTTTGGTGATGTGCGCCACCACCGGGAAGATCCCTTAGCAGTTGTTTCTTCTGATCTTGTCCCGGCACTTGATACGGCGGTTGATCCGGACCCCGTGGGTAGCATCGTGAATGATGCGTTTCTTCGCGCTCGCTTCGTCTTCCACGATGACGGCTAGCGCTGCCATAGCCCAGTGGTCACCGTAGCGCTCCTGGAACTCACCTAGCGACATCTTAGCCATGATGCCCTCCTCCTCGAACTTTTCTCTAGCAAAGGGAAAAGCTGTATAGTTCGGGACCCACGCTGGCCGCTAGCGAGGCCTCCGATGGCGCATTTTCCAGGGGGCACTTCAGCTGCTCCTCAAAATCGTGAGGAGTCCTACGTAGCAGTGGCTCCAGGATGCCCGCCCTTCCTCCACCCTCCAAAACAAGTCCCGGTCTGGGTCACCACCTCGGGCCGAAGCCACATCTAACATTGGGCCCCTAGCCACTAGCGAGGGCACAGCCCACCGGCCGCCTTGAAGGGCCCTGCACAAGCTAGTCCTTGGAACCCACCTTAACGAAAACAAAATCTAACATCTTGCTGCATTTTGCTCCTTAACCACTCTTACAAGGAGCCCTCGCGTAGCTCCTGGCGTGGTGGAGCCACCGCCGAAGCGAGCATAGCCTTCCTCCTGGCTCAACATGCAAATTTTGGGTTCAACATGCACAGGTGGGTTTCCGAGATGCAAACTGTGTGGCTTGCTCAGGGGTTCAACATGCACAGGTGGGTTTTCGAGATGCAAACATGCATCTCGGGCGCGCGCTTTGCATCTAGGAAACCCAACCTTGCATGTCGAACGCCACAGTGCCATAGCGGGCCACTGCTCGAACCCACGAGTTTTAATGCTGTTAAATTCGCCTTTGGCTTGCCTCTGGAACATCCCTTTGTATCCCTGTGCAGACGGCAGCCTGTGTAGCAGCCTTTTTCATCACATCGTCTGCAGAAGCAGCCGCGTGGGCTTGGCGTAAAGACATGCCGAAGCTAGCTTGGTGAAAAGCAACAGTCCATAGCCTCTTCGCGAGAAGGTCGGCTTGCCGCGACATCGAGGCGGGCCGCTCCTCTTGCGGACCATTCGCCAGCGCGCCCAAGTCCTCTGGCTGATAACCACAAAGGTAGCAGCTCCGGCGGCGACCAGGTTAGCGACCTCGAAGGAGAAGTCCGCGAAAATGCTCCCCGTGATAGCGCGGTCCCATTCAGCCGGTGTAAGAGTAGCGAGCCAGCCCACGGGGTTCTTAGTAGCTTCTTGCCGGCCGGGGCCACGAAAATTGGCCCAGGTAACGCGTGAAAAGCTCGAGCACGGGGGGACTGGCAGTCGAGCCAGAGTGCTTCAGGCAGCTACATACGCCGCTCACGGTTGTTATTGCACACATAAGTATGACAACAAATTTGCTGGGCACACGATAGAACTTGTCATCGGTTGCATTCTTCGGACTATAGAAAGCAGGGCACCACGAATGATAATGCTTTTCATGTGCTTGCAGGCTTCCCAAGCACTTTGAGAAAGCCTGCAAAGGGCTTGGGCCGCATCGAATTGGTGCCTCCAAGCTAGCGTTCATGGAGCAGGGGCTTGCAACTCCTAAAGAACTGAATTGGCCCATGATTTGACCACACTCTTGAGATCGTCTGAAGATGTCGGAGCTCTGGGCTGAGGCAAAGAATAAACATCTTACTGGTGACCGCCTTCGTAACATGTGAACAAGATTGGGACATGTCTCATACGCATGCATACGGCATTGTAACTTGTTGATTGCTTGGTATCCCTGTGTCCTCGAACAGGCCAAGGAGCAAGCGCTCAATCCCGGCCCAAGCCTCCACAACTCACATCTGGATGCTCCACGAGCTCTCCCCGCACATACTCCCCCAAGCCCAGCACCACCATGACACCGTTGTCGACACAAAGCCTTGCAAGACTGCATAGCATATGCAATCACATTCACACACATACACATACACACATATATATATACACACACACAACGGTCTGTTGTGAACTCGAGGCCCAACCGCGGCGGCGGGCAAAACATCTGTAAGGAGTGCTCCCTGGCAACCTCAACGACTGATCAAGGAGTGCTCACTGCAATCAGAATGAAGCGCAAGATCAACTCTGAGGCACCTCTTCCAAGCCTTTGCGTACGGCTTGGTTGGCGGCCACACCGCCAGCCACCACCTCGGGAGATTTGGTCTTGCTAAAATCATCTTGCTGCGACGGTTCCTGTTCATGGGTCTGCCTGCTTACCTTTTTTATGTCAACACTTGTTGCATGACCATGCGAAAGGCGGCCAACATGTCATGGCTGTTCCTCACATGTCTGGGACCTTTGCGAGACATTTGGTATCAGGCTCGAGCTCAAGAGCCCAGCCTGCACACCGGCAGACACAAGCTTGCACAAGTCCCGAATCTGACGACTCTGAAGCCTGCAGCTCGTGAGGCTCGTTCGCACAAATGGTGCACCGCCATTTGCTGGAACCTCGGCATCTTCCAACACCAGCGAATTGTAGCTTGCGAAAGCCGAGGCCCAAGACGCGGCAGCTACGTCAGCTTTGGCTTTGTGCAGCTCCTCCTGTTAACAATGCACAGGCAGCACAGGCAGCAAAGCTGAGAAGGACAGCTCAAGAATGCGGGATCCTCGGACAAAGTGTCCGCCTTTGCACTTGGCAATTCCCGTTCCACCAGCGTCCTCTCCCCACCAGACTCTCTAGACTTGGACTGGCAATGTATCCCGAAGCTCCCTGCCAGGCCTCACCGCAGTTTTCAATCCGGAAAAGGAATAGTTGCAGCCTTCCTGCAATACCTGAGCTCAGCCAGAATGGAACCTATCATCTTCAGAACACTACCCGCCTTGTCTCTGGTTTTTGCAAGCGGCTTTGGGAGTGCATGTGCCTACCACTTGATCACAAAACACTCTGAATGTCACTCTCACTCTCCGTGCAGCCAGCCTTCGGATCCCCGTCTTTGGCTAAGCGCTCTAAATGGGGTCCGCCAGGAACCTGAGCAGCACCATAAAACTGTCGAGGAGTTCATCGACACGGGCTGGGTTTGCTGCCTTTGTGATCCCCAATAGCCTGGCCTTGCATCAGCTGGAGCACTGCATCCGGGGACTCAGCTGGCATTATCGTGATATTCAGTGCTAGGCCGTCTTGTCGAAGGCTTCACCAATGGAGTCATCGATTGTGCTACCCAAAATAGTATGCCGGCCAACCTGGAAATGTTTGACAGGGAAATTTTTGCACATGCTTGAAAGCACAACGGCACGTGATTTGGTGAACAACTTGGCTTCGGGACACCTCTGGTCAACACGGCCATGTTGTGACCACCAGAAACAAGAAGCCTCGATGTCGTGAAAATATTGGGGTGCAAAAGTAAACTGTCTTGACGAACGCATGCATCCACCAAGCTGTAAAGCGCACGTAATGAATGGAAACTCGGGCTGCACGAGATCTGCTTGTAGACCTGCAAAGCAGAGCAAATGCTGAGATGAACCTTTTTTGTCTGCCCTGCCCCCCCCCCCCTCTCTCGCCCCCACCCACCATCCCACGTCCCCAAACTCCGAAATGGAGCCGGGGCGTGCCTTGCCCTTGTGCAAGCGGAGGCAATCGCGTCACCTTCAGAAAGGACGCTGCCAACCATGGCGTCCGACGCATGCTGCAAAAGCTGCGAGGTCGGCACCATCATGTGAGCTTCCATGTGATGCACGCGCACCTTGCTGCCACATCCGTACTTTGGACTCGAGACCCGCAAAAGGCGCAGGCCAACGGCAACCGGTGTGCGGCAGCGATATGCAATGCCTGGTTGGGCAGCGATATGCAAGGTCTTGGCAGGCACTGCTACCGGATCTACCGGTCACCCCTTCGCCTTGCGAACACCAACCTCGAGACAAAGGCCAAGCCCAGGCCCGACCTCAGATTCGCAAACCATTCAACCACTGAAGAGAGGCAAGTTAAGCTATCCACCGTTACAGCCACAGCGGAGATGTCGCTTGCTGCAACTCCTTGGCGAATCGTCATCATGCGATCCCGGCGTGACAGTCGACCTCGTTGCTAAAAGGCTGCCTGCTCGTTGCAAAGCTTCTTCGACCGTCCCGTCTATGGCCTGGCTCCACAAAACAGATGCATCTCGCAAGCTTGCAAAACTGTTTCATTCCGATAACACTTGGGTCCTGGGTGACGATCCGCTCCTTTGCATAGCTCTACTGTTTTACCATGATAGCTTTCTGTCAACATCGACGGATGACATGAATCATGATATTGTGTACAAACATCCCCACTGAGATTTCACAAAATCCCCTCGACCTACAACATCACAAGCACATGCTTTTGCAAGTGCTGGCTGCTGCAGCTGCAACTTGGCTGTGCTAAAGATGCCCTGCTGCATCACGGCTGGCCTGCTTGTGGCCTTCCTGTGCAAGCCTGGGTACAACGCCACCCCACTGCTCGTGGATGCCAGCCTGGAAGACACCGCTCTTGCCAGCGACATATTTGTGAAGCCTTCTTATGCTAAACGGCCACGAAACCTGCAGTGACAAATGAGCGCATGAGACTTCGACCGCCGAGGCCGACGATGGCAGGCTCGCGACTGTTGACAACATGTGTACCGACAATGTTGTCATGACCAGGCCTGTGATGCCAAAGCTTCCCCGAGAATCTGTCCATCACCCCTGTCCGAGATTCACGAAAGGGCAGGATAATACTGAAGTGGAATATGAACCTGAGAACAGCCGCACCAGTATCGTCGCAACTGGACTCGATACCCAGCACCAACCTCAACAACCGTCGACCAAGAGTCGTGCAACATCAAAGCGCTGTGCAAATCGCTGGCCAATGCTTTTTGTCATCGGCCAATGTACGGCAGTTCCTGCAGAGTACGAATTGCCCCATCTCCTATCCGAAACAAACATCGGCACGACCTGGAGCGTGAGCTTGAACTGGCAGAAGGTGCAACTGCAGAGAGTGGCGCCTCAACGTAACACTCATTGCAACAATGGTCAGTCTGGCATGCCCGAAATTAAGCAGGTCATTCAACCAGCGCAAATAGAAAACCCACAGGATGAGTGATGGCATTTACGGGTCGCCCCGCCCCCCTCCCCCCCGACACAGTCAAGCACCGCCGAGAAACCAAAACACAAACAAAGAAACGAAAACACTCGCACTCACGCACACTCACACACACTCAAACACACACTTACACACACTCACACACACTCAAACATACACTCACACACACACACACACTCACACACACACACTCACACACACTCACACACACACACTCACACACTCACACACACTCACACACACACACACACTCACACACACACACACTCACACTCACTCACACACGCTCGCACGCACAACTCGGGCAAATGGCCGTAGCACAGCAGGCCGGACCGACAAGGTATGTCAGCTCGTGGCGATCGCCACCCAGCTTTGCAAAGTCTGAGGACAGAAATACAAGATGCAGGTTGCCATGGGACCAGCTGACAATGGCACAGGCAATGGGCAAACTGCAGCTGATCCCAAGCTAATTTCCGAAAAGTCGACATGCCTACAACACAAGGAATACAGAACTCATCGCCATCTACGCAAATCTTGGCGAACTCTGTTGTGCCAATAAAACCTTCAGTGGCTAGACGGTGACGGCTCGATTAATGTTTGTGTTGAGGCTGCCACAGGCAAAGCAGCCCCGATGGACCTGTCTTCGCAAGAAAATCAAAGTCAAAGCTGGAAGACCTAGCCTCCAAGACACCATGAGAAGCGGGCTCACGGATTTCATGGCTCGGAGGCTCACTTGACCTGGCATTGTCAGCATTCATGGCGCCACGAATGTCAAAATGATGTGACGAAACGGCAGAATTGGGAGGTTTTCGTGCCATGACATTTTTTAGTATTTTCTACACATGCGGAAGTCACGGCTCGCAATGTGGGCAACTGTCGACATTACTGTCGACATTTCTCTTTCGACGTCATACGTCACATCTCAAAAAGCTCAACGTGCCAACACACCGTGACCGCAGCGGACCGCCCTCTGCATGCCAGCGCCTCAAGGCCTGGGTGTCACGGTGTAGACAACGGACGGCAAGGAAAAGCTAGGCTGGCGGCTTTTTGCCATCGTGGTCCAACCTGGGAACCGGGAGGCGGTGAGACCGTGGCCACGCGAGCCGGAGCCGATCTCGTTGTGACTGGGCCAAGGGCGGCAGTGAGCAGAACTTTTCTTCCCTCCGCCTCTCCAGAGCAGAGGCGCAAGCATACGCGCGCAGAACAAGCCGCCATGCCTGTGGTCCAAAACCTTCGAAGCCAATCTCCAGCCGCTGTGGGCCATCCTGACAGCACTCCGGGTTTAGCTGATATTCAGAATCAAGAAAACCTTGAAGCTGGAACAGCACTCCCTTTCCCCAGTCCCAATCAGAAGCAACTTGGATGGCCTTTGTCACGAGCTGATCTCCCAAGCGCTCGGGCCATTCCACTAGGCAAATCGCCTGCCAAATCGCCTGGCACGACGTTGTTCGCATTTCTTGTCCTACCGAGGCTCACCATCTTGCACCTGTCTTGAGAGAGGCTAAGCGGCTAAGCGGCTAAACATCACACCTAAATTACGTAAATGACAGGTGATTGTCGGAGCGTGGGTGTGGATGTGCTACAAAACAGCACCACTACGACAAGCCAAAGGCCTCGTTTACAAGTGTGCACACAAAGCAATCGATGGGAATAAGTTCGCTCTGTCATAAAACTCTTCTGGAGAGAAGAAGATGGAAAGCGGCAGAAAGAGATCAACACATTTTCGCAGGGGAGTGTGCTAGACTCTCTCGATGTGCCCTGCACTGGTGAGATGTGGCCACTCATGCTTGCATTACTGGCTTGCCATCATGGACTCACCTGCGAACACTGGAGTCGCATGGCGTCACAGCCTCAAAGTCGATCAAAGAGGCAATCTTGCCAGCTGGAAGTCTGTATGGGTCAATGTGGTGCACTGCACCTTCAAGCACGACTCATGACTCGCCATATCCTCAAGATCGCGATCCGAGACCAGTGCAGCCGGGAACCAGGGAAGGCCCGTCGGAGTTCCCAGCCTTTGCGACTGGCATCGCTTCTGTGCTTCTGGCGTTTGCGTCGAAGACGCCGAGAGGATGGAGGCATCACGTGCAATCTGGCGGCATTTTGTGAGGTTGCACCTGCGGTCAAGTGGTCTCGACTGGCTTGACATTCATAGCCGCTCGCAACCAGCTTACGGTGATGGCAAACATTGCCTGGACAGCACTGCAGCCTGCATATGCGCGCATGAAAGTCATGGAAGTGCGACCCACCAAGCCTGAAGTGCCATAGGTGAAATGCAACCTAGGTTGCCCAGAGCGTCACTCTCTTTCTCCCCTTCATCTATAAGCCTCTCCACAACCCGAATCCTGGATGTCGTCCGTTATTAGGGCTTCTGCGTGCCGCCTCGTGGCAAATAAGATGGAGACGGCACATCCAGGTCTGGACTTGCGAAGAAGGCCCGTAGGAAGCCCCTCGCCTGCGTCGAGCTCCGAGCTCATGCACTCACTCCTGCCGTGCCAGCAACCCACCCCCCCCACCCCCCCCCCGTTATACGGCACACCGTCGCGGCCTCGCTGCCGTGCCCGAAATCAGGCGGACGCGAAGCGTGTACAGGTGCACATGCTTGCACGTTGTCCAAGCTAGAGCCCCGCTCAGGACCACACCATGGATGTTTTCCCTGAACCCAGCTCTCCGCGGAGGAAAAACACATCACCTGCGAAAGTTCTGCCGGTGCGTTAACCTTTGCAGCGAACTGGGTGCGCAAACCTTTTTGTGCTTCGTGCGCCAAGGCCGCCCCCAAAGCTTCGGTGGCGTCCACATCCAGCCTTGCAAAGCCAACACGTAGCTGACCCTCTCCTGACTGAGAGTTGTGTAATCATTCTTGCACGTAAATAATACTCAAAGCCCCAATGATGGCAAATGACCCCAAGTGAATCTGGGCTTCTGGAATCAATACACGGCCACGATCGGGGGCTTGGTAACCGCAAAGTATGAACCCACAAAGGCGGTGATGTGCAGTGTGGCAAATGGAAATGGCTGCCGGAGTTGGCCCATTATGCAGGAGCCGAATCAACATCGAAGAGTGTGAAGTGTGGCCCCAGGTTTGTTGCATCAGTTTTTGTACGAGACCTGGTTGCCATCGCACGAAACAGGAAACACCGTCCGAGATGTTGGCTGTCAAAGCGTTTCTTTGGAATGACATTGCATTGAGCACTCCTCCATCACAACTCGTATATTATATTGGAGAAAAAGATTGTGGTCACACATCCAGCCAAAGATGTCTGGAGCATCCCTACACGAGGGATTTCTCGTTGGAGGGGTTGCCAATACAAGGTGATGCATGCAAGATAGACCCCGACTCAAGGCAATGCCTAGCAGTCTAGCACAGTGTAGGCCTGAAAGACCTGGACATCTCCCTCCGACCGTTCGCACCGTGCCAATGGGAATGCTTTCGCTTGGCCACGGCTCATGAAGCAGCGTGAACCGGCACGCGACAGTGCATACAGCATGCTGAAAATATCCGAGGAAGGCTGCAAATGTTGGTAGCAGAAACTAAAATAACAAAAGCTCGCGTAGTGGGACCCGAGGGTACCAACAAAACACACACACGGAAAAACAAAAAGCATTCCGGCGAACCTTGCTCGACCCCCGCAATGCTACCCGCTGCCCAGCATGCAGTCTGTGGCGGGCGCCGCCGGTCTTCTTGGTGGTCCGCCGGTGGTGGCGCTGCTCTTTCACCCGCGGCGGGGGGATCTGCAGCTTCCCCATGTGGGAGTGGGGAGTCCCCATGGTTGCACTTTGGCCTCTCCCAAGGCAGCGCTCTCTACCGTCAGCTATGTCGTACAAAGAACGCATAGAGCCATTTGACCTGTGGCCTGTTTGGAGCAAGGAGGGTGGCGGTGCAAACCTGGATGTGCGCATGGCCACCAATCTGCAGCAAAACAATTGAAACCCCAGGACCGTGCCCGAGTTGAGATACTTGCGTGATTGGAGCCCTGGCACCTGGATGAGTCCGGCGAACGCACGCAACTGCACCGAGGTCTGTGGGGTATCTTGCGGGTACACTTGGCGAAACATGTCCGAGTATTCTGTTCCCTGACGTCCTGTTGAGTGCAGGTTGGCGGGGTTGATCGGGAACGCGTCCAGCCAAGTCTCACTGGTAGAGCCATGGTGTCATAAAAGACATGGGTTCTCGAAGCAACCCAGCAGCCTGTACAAATCGACCCGGTGCACGCAATAAAGGTGAAACAAAGATTCCTTGAGTGCCAAAGCGTCAAAGCATCCCGGCCATACAGGCGCATGAGCACGAATGATGAAGTCTCAAGGCACGGGGCACCTGGCGGGGCCGTCAGGAAAGGACATCCCACAAAGTTGCGGCATTGCCAGGAGGAGACAGGGAGGCAAGCCCCCGGGAGCCAACACCCCAAGCACCCCTAAGCCGAAGAAAATCGGTCACGGCAGCCGTTCCAGCTTCGGGCAGACGGCGAGGCACGGCACGGCGAGCACTTTGCAGGAGGTGCTTCGTGAAAGTGAAAGGCGGAGGGTCGCTTGAACTTGTGCGGGCCGCCAGCAAAAGAGAAAACCCAGGATCCGCGGACTTGGAATCTCAAGACACCCAATATTTCAGCGTGCCTGCAAATAAAGTGTCCTTAAATCACCTTGCGCGCGGACGGGGGGCCCACAGAAGCGCAATACCTCGACACGCCGATGAGGAACGATCCCCCCGCCCGACCATCCCCCACCCCCCCTGGCCCTGGGCCCCCCCCCCCCACCCTCCCGCCCACAGGCCGAGCCCCGTCCCGCCCACCCTGTCAAATATGTTCATTCGATAGGGATGTTTCACGGCACGGGTTTTTTTCATAGCAAGGACAAGCCGGAAGGGTTGAGGGGTTTTTTCCCTGGGGATTTCTGCTGATTGATGGCCGAAGCTTACGGGAATCGCCAACCAGCTTACGGGAATCGCCAACCGGTTGGCTGCAGTATTCAATCTCGCTATCTTCTCGTTCGGCTTCGTACATTCTGCACTATATACCCATGAGCTAAGTGAGGCATACTAAGGCACCGCGCAAGAAGAGGGTCCAACCTAGTCCTGAGCTGGGGGCTGCCAAAGATTTCCCGACCCCTAGTGCGCACAGGCATGATGGGACGCCGCGGATTCGTTTAATCTCAATTCGTCTCATTATGACCCTTGGACTACGAGGAACCTTGGCCTGATGCGGTGCCCCGGTGCGGACTTGCGCCGTTATATAGAGGCCGGAGCGGTGTACCTGTGTATCGGTGTATCGGAGCGGGCTTACGCGGTTAGAGGCCCGCAACGGGCGTGAGGAAGGGAAATACGCCGATATACGCCGATCCGACATGCCGATCTACAAGGGAAATACGCCGATACGTCGACACGGCGCACTCGCTCTGACGGGTGCAACGGTGTGTCGGTATATCGGTGCGGAGCTGTTTTCGGGACGCTGCTTGCGGGCCCTCTGCAATCTTTCGGGTGCTTGCCGATGTGTTGCACAACCTCCACCAGGCTCTCTCGCGGCACCTCGCGCAGGCGGTGCGCTCCGGCGTTGTGTCCCCACTCTGCTGCCGATTCACGAGATTTTTCGTGAGATGCGAGGCGTGGGTGAAGAGATGTGAGCCGAGGCAATATCGCAAAACGAATCTACATGAAACCTTTCAGAAAACCAGGGACCACCAACTACGAACAGACCGTTCTTTCTGCCCCTCTGCACGACATGATAGCGCTTCAGATGTCGGCCATCTCAATAAGCTACCTTTGTGTTTCAGTATGTGTCGTTGACTTCGGCAAACGAAGCCAGATGAAGCCAGAGAGCGAAGGCTCAATGAGATGGTGAACCTTGATGTGGCCTTGCACAGCTCAGGGCCTATGGCCATGCGCAGCCGCATCGGGGCAAATAAGGAAGCATGGTGAAACGTTCCTTGGGAAACGCACCAAACACACGTCGGCAACCGGAGTCCTTGCAAGGGGCGAGAGGCGCCGAAGGCTCTGAATTCTGTCCCGTACGCATTGACGCTCCTGGACTCCTGGCATTATCGCCGGCGACTCCTCGAGCGTCGCCCATTTCGCTTTCTGGATGCCTTTGCTGCGAGCGGGCAACGCGAGCCAAGCTGCTCCTTACTGCTTGCCGAACCACGCTTTGAGAACTGCCCTTCTGCACCATCCTTACATGCAAGTCACACCGAAGTCAGACCACATGTTGCATTGCGGGCATCTGTAAGATGACGGCCACCAGTGCAAAGTCATGCCATCTAAATTCTCGTGAAGGCGAGCGTCTCTTGCTGGTATACAGTCATGAGCTCCGCAGTCATGACGCCGCCGCTGTGAGGAATGTTGAAGACATCCTCATCTCAACAGGAACTATGCCTGAATCAACACATTGATTCTCCAAGCTGCGAATGTGACGAGTACACAGCCTCAAAGGCCCTCAGAACAGGCCGGAGCAGCCGTCAAACTTGTACTCAGAAGGACTTGCGCGTGGATGCGCTTGGTTCGGTTGCGGAGAACTACCGTCCCAAGTGAAACTGGGTATGTGTTTGCAGGACTTAACCTTGACCGATGCATGCTTTTCCGCTTCGATTCGCGCTCTGTGTCCTGCCGATTCCTACCGGGTAGTGCCGCCTTTGCTTCCTTCCATGTCTTCTGTCCCGCTTCTTGAAGATCCCACAGCTTCGAGGCAACCCTTCCAAAACAACATAAATCACATGGATCTGTTACAATGTAGCACGACGTCGGAGAGAAGCGGCCCATCATCGATTGGAGCAACAGACTTGTCAGAAAGCCCTCGAATCCAACGCTTGAAGCCCTCCATGGCAAACAAGCTTAGAATGCCACAAATCACAATGGGCCGGGGACCATTGCATACGTGGTCAACAATCGGTGCTCTCTGTTAGGCCGGCTGAAACCTGCGCCTGGCCTTTGTTGCTGCCTCTGACAACGTGACGGGATCTGCTGTCATAATGTTTCCGAGGAGCGTGTACATGAGGCAGGGTGCAAAGGATGCGTACTTGTGGCTAGTGAAACTCAAAGATACACGGTTTGCCGACAAGCGGCCACACAGGATCGAGCAGCGCCGTGGCTTCGCGCCTGAATGATGGCATACCTGCTCGATGGTTTTTCCAAAAGCATCACACAGAAATTCACACGAAAAATCCGTGTGTTGAAAAGGCTCCGTCCTTCCATGCTGTGGGTGGTGTCCGATCCTTGGAAGCGGCTCTTGCTTCCCGTTCCCACTCAGCCCCAAAACTAGGTCTTGTCAAGCCTCTGTGCCCTCTCAATATCTTTTCCCATGTTTTTGATGTCTGTCTCATCTTCGATGTCCTCAGAATCTGCGATGGTCACTGTGAAAAATCCCTCCGGCAGTCAATATTTAAACCTAGCATTCGCTCACAGAGCTCCTCCGGCACGTTCTTGACGAAAACCACGCATGTGGTGCTCTTTTCCAACAAGTTCTCGAAGTCCTCTTCAGAGATGACCTTCGCCTGCACCGAGTGGCTGAGTGTTTCTTGAACCTGTCCGAGAGCACCCAGGCCTTCATCTTTGGAATTCCGACTTTCCACTTCTCGATAGCACTGACCAAAGCTTCAGCCTGCGGACAGGAACAACGTAGCTCTGATGGCCAACACCAGGGCAAAGCTGGCCTGCGGTATTGACTTCGCTTCTAGCACCGCCGTTTGCACGTCCTTACAATTGGACGAACAGCATGCAGAGTGCGTGTATCTTGACCATTCGATACGCCTCCTCGACTGGCAAGGTACACAGAGGATAGCAACTTATCATTAACTAATCCTGTTTTCACCACAAGAAAAGCGAAAGAAAGATAGAATAGCCGAAGCAGAGTCACCGAGGAGGGGACCTTGGTGGGCTCAACAAGGCCCCTCAGTTTGCCTTCTGTCTCTGGCAATTCTTCTGGGAAGTGGATGAATTTCCGTACAAGACTGATCTTGCCCTTGCTGTGTGTGGTCAACGGGGGAGCCTCTTCCTCAATCGAACGTCTTCCACTTGTGTCCACGATGGCTAAATCGTTGAACGACAGCTTCCGAGCCAGACAAGACGTGGCTGGGGAGGGGCCTGTGCAACCGTTTCTGATGCCGGTTCCCGGTGCAATTGTTCACCACACTATTTCGATCCAACGCCCGCGCCCCTTATAAGCCCATGCCTCTTATGCCCACACCCATGCCCCACGTTCCACGCCCCTGGCCGCTCCACACACACCCACACACCATATGAGGAGACCACCAACCATGATGATAACACTAATAAGGACCCAAACCCCGGATTCCAAAAAACCGATGCAGACCCACAGGGGCGAAGGGCTTGTCCCTACAGAATGCAAAGGACCTGCGGGTGCGGGTGCGGTGGGTGTGTGTCTCTGTCTGTGTGTGTGTGTGTGTGTCTCTGTGCGTGGGTGTGTGTGTGTGTGTGGCTCTGTGTGTGTGTGTGTCTGTGTCTGTGTCTGTGTCTGTGTGGCTGGGTGTGTCTGTGTGGCTGTGTGTGTCTGTGTGGCTGTGTGTCTGTGTGTCTGTGTGTCTGTGTGGCTGTGTGTCTGTGTGTCTGTCTGCGTCTGCATCTGCGTGTGTGTCTGTCTGTCTGTCTGTCTGTTTGTTTGTTTGTTCGTTCGTTTGTTTGTTTGTGGGTGTGTTCACTTTGCGTTCTTGCAAGAAGGTACATCTGTGCAAGCTTATGGCTTACGCATACATGTCTGTACATGCATCACACTCCACTCCTGTCGTCTTGCTTTCTGCCTTGCCGCTAGAGCACCAAGCTTGAAAGCAACTCGGCCAGACCCAGGTCGGCATAGCGGCTGGGACCTTCCATAGCATCCTGCTACAGGCAACGGTCTGGGAGCCACCTTGGCGGGGAGGAGAAGCACTCATAACTGAACAGTGATCCTGATCTTGCCCTGGTGGCAGCACTATCACCCAAATTTTTGGGAATAGGAACAGCAAGAGCTAGCAAAGGAACAACAGACGCGGCATTTAGTAAAATCATTCATGAAAATGAAGCTCGTGCCGCACCAGGTCTCATCAGTGGGGCTTGCATCGATAGGCTAGGTAAGGCTTACGCAAAACTTCATGTATGGATTGTCTTCACTTGCGACATCTGATCAGACTTTGCATCCGGTTCCATTGTTCACAGGTTCTAATTGCAGTTGGTGCTAGGCCTTTCTTGGTGGGAGGGGAGTCCTTGTGTTGGATCTGCATGCCTTTGACGAAGTGGCCTTGAGGGTTGTTGCAGTTAGGATTGCTTTCGGATGTGCATCTCTCACCCTGATGAAGCAGGTGGATGGTACTGCTGTCATCAGCGGCTTGAATGACAGCAGGCCGGAACTTGTGCCTGGCTTCCTGTCTTCGGAACTAATTAGTAAGACATCCTGCATGTCGTTTGGCACACTGCGTGATATTCACATCCCCTCGCTAATTGAAGAAAGTCGAAGCTTGGCAGTGCACCCCGTGCAAGAATGCGAGAACAAGATCTTGAGTAGTGCTTCATACTCCCAAGTCCGGCATTTTGCTTCAGGGTTCATGGCTTGACGATTTCGGCTTCGGGTCTGATGATCGGTTAAGTCTGTACCAGGCAGGCGGAGGTCCCAACCGGCCACTCTCGGTACGTCGCCGCCGCGGCTGGCGCGTTCCACACAGCGCCTAGCACATGTTAGAGGATCTCGCGGCATGTTGCACTTTGCAGCTGCAGTCCGGAAATGAAGCGCTCTCGGTCTGTCAATGCGTCCTGCCGCAGACATGAATGAAGCGAACTGTTGTGGCTGGGCTGTTCATGTACTTTGCTTCGTTTGAAGTTTAACTTCATGGTCGGTGCATGTGTGGCGAATGCTTTCAGATGTGGCTGCTGGTACGTTGCTTGCCGAGGTGCTGCTTCGAGACGATGGCTGTGCAGCCTGGCATAGAACAGGGGTTCGATGATCGGACAGGTGAGACACTGGGTGAACTTCAGCACCCTTGTCTAAGCATAGCACCGGTGGAAGATGGTGGAAGCTTCCATCATACTTGCACAAACCAGAACTGCATTTCCTGCTTTCCGTCAATCCATCGGTGTTTTGTATCACGTGCTGCCTGTAGGGAGACCGCAGGCTCACAATGTAGATACGAGTTTAGGCGGGGGAGAGCCAGGGTGGCTGAGAAATTCGACTTTGGCTTCAAAGGGATTCAGCAGCTTGGGCCAGTCTTGGCCACGAGGCTGTCGCGTTCGGCGAAAACAGCGATGGGTAACTCGGCGAGTTCGTGTGTCCTGTAGTCCGAAGCTTCATGAAGGCTTCTGAGAGTCCAAGCGCATGTTTGAATGTGCCCGGTTCCAAGGCAATGTGACATACCCGCCTTGGACGCGGGCCTGGAGCACCTTGGCAAACTCAGCCTTGGTTCTGCTCAATTGCAAGAAGCCGAAGCAAGCTGCAATTGCGCAACAACAAACATCCTCCTGTCTGATACCTTCTACGCACCGTTTGCTTCCTGGCCCCAACTCCCATGTGTTCGCTTGGACTCAGGATCATACAACTTGCCTGAGTGTTGAATGCTGGGCAGCAGCAGATACACTATGCCAGGTACTTGGCTGTGGCGGCAGGCGCTCTTCACACTGCTGCCTGCCTGCACAGTCGAAGTGGTGGCTGTCCAAGCGGAGTAGTCGTTTCTTTGTGCACTTCTGGGCTTGACGGCTCAACACGCATGAGATTCCAGTGCCTGTGGGATTCCAGCCCCCTCGTACTGAAAAACGCAAGGGCCTAGTCTAACTGCGAAAACTGTTTGCTCCTAAAGCTGCATGCTGATGTCTCTATGTAAGTTTGCATGCTGGTGCACGGCCTTGCAACGAGGTGCTGCTGCGCAGTGACGGGTGCATCATCGCTTGTGGCAGCAACTGCGCCCCTCGGTCTTGGACATTTAGTGGGAATTTGTGCAATGCCTGGACTCTTGTATCCAGGCCATTGGATCATTTGGAGTCAGGTTTAGATCGTCTTTACTCGGAGTGTACGAGCCAAAGCATGCATGGCGAAAAGACACCGCCCAAGGCCGGTCAGACCACGCTGCCGAAGTTGAGCCGCTTGCTTCCGCAAAGATCCCCACCCCAAGCCTGAACTCGAAACCCAAGTCGAATCTTAAAGCCTTGAGTTTCTGCAGGAGTTCACTTCTGAGACTTTCGGATGGTGGGTGTTTCGGACAGGGAGCATGCTTGGCCATAGATAGCCGGATCTTCAACCCCCTGCAATCGCTCGAATGACCCCTTGAACCCTCAATCCTTTACCCTGCGGAGTTTCAGGTTCAGGGCTTGGGCCGGCTGGCAGGTAAGACGAAGGTTAGGAATTGGTAAGTCTTCCCAGCTCAAGCCCACGGCATATTAAAGCTTGCTGAACGCTGTCGTCAAGTCACAGGAGTTCCAAAAACGCAGGGCGCAACGATCGAGTGTAGGCTCAGGGTTCAACGGTCGAACTCCCAGTTGGCTCGATCCCAAAACCGGCGAGCAGCGCGAGCAGCTCAAACCGCGAACATGAAGCCCGTCAGATCTGTGCATAGCAAGCTCGTGCAACAATGAGACCTGCCATGAATTGGCAGGTCCGCCATCTTGTTTCACCACCAGCAAATCCGGCCACTCAGCGAGACCTCGAGTTTCCGAGAAATTTCGCGGGACTTTCCAAGGTAGATTCCAAGCCTTGAAGTCTAACCTGGTCCTAGATCTGAGGCCGCTTTGAGATGTTGGGGGTGTGCGCAGGAGCCTTCCGAGGGTCTAACCCTGAGGGACAGTTGTTCTCTTTGCTTCGGCCCCCGAAGTGGTTTGACTTCCCCGAATGTAGAGGCAGACTTTCGAAGCAGCAAACGCAGGTCCTCTTCGGCTGTCCGTAACAGCACATCCCCGACGCTTGTGGTCCAACTTTGAATAACTGATGGGTTCAGAAATGCTGGGCAAGAAAGCAATGACGGTCGTCTCGGAAGTCCCACAAAGCGAAACGAATCGTGCATGATCTGCAAGACTCAAGGTCTATGGTTTGGATTTCCGGCATTTCATGCGCAGCTTTCAAGCTATCCCCTGCCCACGTTCCTGATTCTCAGGCGAGTGGACAGTGAACGCCACGGCCGCGCCTCCCATCAGTGATCCTTTGCTGCTCTGGGTAAATCCCCGTTGGCGGGTTAGTGGATCATGCAATCCAGACTCTAGCCGATCTGCGTTACCATCAGGTGCTCGAGCAGCTAATGGGAAGGGCTGAGATTTCGACGCGCTTACATGACAACAACTAGTCATGCAACGGCTGAGGGGACTCGTACAAACCCTTCGGACAGTCTTGACCTTGTGATCCTCGAATCTAAACCACAAACGAGAGCTGCCATCGAAGGACACGGCTCGGAGCGACAGTCGCAACGAGGCGCGGGGAAGGTAAAGTACTTAGGTGTGGTCATCTTCCGCACACTATGTGATGCGGCACAGGTGAGGGCGAGGCCGTTGAGCTTTCCCTTTTGGGAACAATCTTCTGCATGTGCGGAATTTAGAACCCTTCAAAACATGAAAACGGATCGGCAAGCAAAGCTTATATAGGAAAAAGCCCAATTGCCCAAAGAGCACTGCTGGAGTGTTTCGCAAATCTCCGCTTCAAATCCGGAAGCCTGGGTCCAGGCCTCAGTCCTCGATGCGGGCTCACCAGCTGGGCTTGAGGACTTTGGAGTGACTTGGGATTTGGGAGTAA